TTTATTTTCCCACAAAAATCGAAGTAAAAATTTAATTTTTTATTAAAAGAAAAAAAAAAAAAAAAAAAAAAAAAAAAGTGCATCATGTCACATGGCCGATTTATGTAATTTCATTTACTTCATCTGTTTAAATGTATTCTGTTACATTAAAATTAGGCATTTTCAATTAATTTCTTAGCACTTTTTTGGATTTAACCATAAACAATGCAATTTTAAGTTTTATCTTTATAGGTAAAGCATAGTTTTTCTAGGTCAGGTTACTAGATTTTGAAAATTATTACATTGGTTAAATCTGTCAGTGGTGTTTCCACATTTATCTTCTATCATTTTACGTAATGCTTTCTGCACCTTTTAATTGCCCCATGGAGACCAATAAAGTGATTAAACTAAACTTAATCACTATTGAGAATACATTTTCTCCCTTCTACATTTGACAATTACCCTCATTTAATAACTGTTTAATCATTTTTATTATATTAGTTTGGCATTTTTTGTATTAATCCTAGTGACTGGATTGTTTTTGGCAAAGCAATGATTTCTACCTTTTACATTTAGTGAATAGAGCAATAGATTTCCGTTTTTATACAAGTGTTTAAGCCCGAACACTTCTGTCTACATTTTGAGGTTTGCCAACGAGAATTACTTTATATTGTATGATGTGCCAAGTTGTTCAAAAACTAGTTTTCATCTTTAAAGAAACATGAAACTGCCAATATCTACATTATTCTTGAGAAACCTGGCAACTATATACATTTTTAAATGGCTTCCCTGAAGTGATCCCTTCACAAAATTTTAATGTATATGCATCTCATTTCTGATTCTTTAATGAAATAATTAAATGGAGATGCGATTGTACATTCTTGGGCAACTTGATTTTTGCATCTCAAACAAATACTTGAGTAGTCTTGTACATCTCACTGGATATAAAAACCAGATGGTTTGTTTTGTGCATGTATGATTAAATGTTGGGGAAAACAAATTTTGCTCAATATTTAAATAAATCGACATCCAATTCAGTGCGAGCATTTTAGTAATGCGACTATTTTCATTCCCTTAACCGGCTTTCCGCTTGGTCATACAGATTTTTTCCTTTTTCTCAGATGGAAATGTTCTTTAAAATTTAATAAGAGCTTACAGGTCATTTCAGAGATTTTGTTGGCATGCACACACACAAAAAAAAAAAAAAAGCTACTTGTACAAAGTGAGCCTTAATGCTTCAAAGAAATTCCAGTCATGGGCACCCTCTCCAGACTATGCCAACCCAGTTTTCGGAGGTCAATCAGCGTTCGAGCCTGGGGACTTGGGAAAAAAAATAAAATAAATAAAAATGACAACAACAAACACTGAAGTCCCACTAAACTCAGCCTGCCCTCGCCCTGTCTAGTCGAGGTAAAACAGAGTTCACCAAAAGTTCACGCGTCCATTATCATAGTGGAATTTGGTACCATCGGATTGTGATTGGAGCGGAAAGAGGAGGAGCCTGCTTGCCAAATTTACCCAGAAAAACTGTTATGACACATGACGTGTTCTGCACTTTCGAGCCCAATACGGGGGGTCAATCGTCGGTCAGAGTGTCGCTCCAGGCCAACTGTGTTTTGGGATTCTGTGTGTGTGTATGTGACGAGCACAGGATCTTAGTTAAGTTTTTTTTTTTTTTTTTTAAAAAAAAGGAAAACCCTAAAATATCTCTGTTACTGGCCCTGTGTCGTAACATCTCTGTACTTGCCCCGCCCAACATGGAAATGGGTTCAACCAGAGTTCACAGTGACGAGCTACGCCTCTTTGCCACCACGTCATAGGGACACAATGTTTTATCATAAGCACAGCACACTTTATACCGTTTTCCGTTAGCGACGTCACAGCGACCCCTGATGGGTCTAAACCCACAGTCTCCGAAGCTTCCAACACCCTCTATGAGGTACATTCTCAAAGCTTGTGGTCCATTTATGCTTAAAGAAAATTTCTTCATTGGGGAACTTTTTTTTTTTACCCCCCCCCATAATTTTATAACATTTTTGCCTCCTTAAAAAATTATATTGGTGTTGAGTCATTGTGCATCAAGGTGCAATGCCCTACAATTCACAAGAAGTTACCAATCTTTGAGCTCCAATAACTCTTTTTAAAAAATAATTGAACTACTAAAACAATGAGGACTTAATTTTGGGGGGGCGGGGGAGGAATGCAGAAACTGAAAATCAATTCTATTGGAATTATTCATTTTTGGGATATTAATCGTTTCATCATATTGATATTCTTTATTACCAAAAATCTATTTTTAAAAAAGCAAAAATAAAGGGGTTACACAAGTTACAATTTCAGGCTTGTGAAATTGTTAAACCATTAACCCCGTTTACCATGTATTGTTTAGTTTTACATTCATTTTAAATTTTGATTAAAATATATACATAAATAGGCTACTTTAAAATTCTAATAGTCAAATTGTACTTTTATTGCTAGTCAATTTGATATAAAATAAAAATAATTAATGCCATAACTGGAAATGTATGCACAGTCTGGGCAACCTCAAGTAACCAAATAATGGCAGCTAAATGTTATTTTTCCTCTAAACAATTTTAAAAATGAACACTTTAAGGTCACTTCAGTGCAACACCAGTCATAATTTTAACAGGTTTATAAAAATGTGATCTACACACTGTAGGTGGTATAATGTAGGTCGTTTAAAAAAAAAAAAAAATAACCTCTACAAATTCACTCAGGAATTCTGAGACATTTTTAGTAAAGCAATTTTTTTCCCTTTAATGTGATAATCTGTAATCAATAAAAAAAAAAAATAAAACCTGTAAATAAGACAAAAATATTTTAACATTTATTATTTACCCAGGAAAACTGTGTCCTTGGGTAAATAGTGAATGGAATAGACACTTTTATATAAAAAAAAAAAAACAAAAAAAAAAAAAAAAAACAAGAAAATATGTTTACAACAGGTCAAGTAGACCATAATAAATAAAAAATTACCGTCACTATAATGTTTTGTTTTTTTGTGCATCCAAAACCAAATGAAATCTTTATTTCATCTACAGCACCGTCTATGAAAACGACAATTAGATTTTATAAATGTTCCGACGGCGTCAGTAGAGCTCATGTTCTATACATGAGTGATTAAGACACGCTTCCCTGGCTGCGGCCTCCCGCATGCGGGTTTCAGCATTAATGAGGCTGACGAACAGAATAAAGACTAAAGGCGCCCCCTTGTGTTAAAAGCAAGCAGTACATTAAACACATGGGAGAAGTGTGTACTTAAAGCGTAAAAAATTTATTCAGAACATTCTAATCAGGTGAAAAAATAATTACAGACATGTAATATTAGTGACAAAAAAATTACACTTTTCCAATAATGGCAGAGCGAATGAACAAACACCACCACACAAAGTGTACTCCAAATTTGACATCAACTGGTTCAAAGAAAAAAAAAAAAATTAATTGTAGTAGTATACATTTAGTACATACAATTTGTTAGTTTTGCTTCCTGTGTATTTCCCCACCAGAACAAGTGTCTAAAATGATGCATGTTGCACAAGTTAGTGTTTAATTTACTGCAGTCAATAAGATGCCAATTGGAAAAGCATTTATAATTTAATAAAATGTACAAAAATAATTATTTAATCAAGTAGTTTCCATTAGACTTCTTCAAATGGGCAGCCACTAAAATCCAGGTTTCAGTCGGCGAACTGCTTTTTTTAGTCAGATGTTGTCGCCTTATGAACTGGTCCCAACCCAGACTAAAGATGCTGGACAAGATACTTATACCGAGTTCTGATATTAAGAGGGAAAACAAAAAGAGAAAATCAGGAAAAAAAACTGTGAAAGTAATGTTTCCACAGTGTTTAGTATACCAAGGCTGCACAGGTAACAAGGATAAATTTATTCAAGTTAAAATAAAATTGCAGTTTCTTCCATAAAACTATTAAGTTTTTTTTTTTTTTTTTAACTTCAAACAGTTGAATTTTTAAAAATACAGAACATAAAAAAAAACTGGAAAATAATCCAAGTCTGTATTGAATTTGAAATTACACTGATATTTCTTGGCAAATAAAGTGTTTTTATAGAATGTAAAACAAAGATTCACAATACAATCATAACTTCAATTCCTGAGAAAACAAGGTTTCAAACCAGTCTCAAGCAGCCCTTTATTTATTGAATACAATTATTTATATCAATGCGTCTGCGGAAAATCTCCTGTACAATTATTTTTGATTTAAAAAAACTTTTAATAAGGGTCACCGCTTTGTGCACAATAGTTTATGATTTTTGACAAATAAGCAACAGAAACTTAGTTACTTTACCTTGCAACTGATGCAGCAGTTTCAGGTACTCAAACCGCTGGTGCTGGGCTGTGAACTTTCCACGTGCTCCACTGTTGGCTCCACCAGCCGTTTGTATGAGAAAGCCAGCATAATCTGTAGAAAGTGCAAATAATTCGTCTGGATCAATTTAAAAAAAAAATTAAGTGACCGACAAGGCCAAATGAAAATGTTGCATGTTATTGCAAGCAGGTCCGTGGGGGGGATTGGTTCCCTTTTATGCTTTGTGGTATTCTTAAATAGCACATTCAGATCAAACTAATTTAATGCCAGACTAAGATAACCAGACTGAATACATAGAGAAGTTCTTACTGGCCCCATTTGAAGTACTAATGTAACATTCACCAATATAAGTTAGTTTTATGCAATTTATTCTTAAATGCAAAATAGATAACTGATCATTATAAAATCCACCAACACAAAACCAGACATACATGATGCTACTTAAAATAAGATCTGCATTTGGGGTGTAAAAAGCTGTAAGGTTTTAATGAAGAATTAAAAATCAGTCAAGGTAGATTGAGCGTGCAAATAAAATGTTCAAATTTGTCTTCGTCTGCAATTGGAATATTTGATATTATGGAACTAAATTTCAAACACATAAGCTGAAGATATTTTCAGTGCTTCATGTTCAGAACTTGGTACAATTTTATTATATTTTTTTACCTACCGTAAGCAGGATCAGAAGTGCCATCATTGCACCCACCATTATATACATGTTCTCAGTCAGACCACCTCCCCATAGAGGGCCCAGGATGGTGGCTAGACCCCCAACTGAGCGACGCACTCCCTGACTAAAGCCTGTCGAGACGGTGACAAACACACTTCAGTAAAAAGGGAGTTAAACATATTTGTCTTTTACTGATTAACATGATTGAGCTTCTGGGGAGCAGCCAGGTAAATGGGAAGGAGACATAAATCCAAAGAAGCAGATATTTATGCATCCACTAGATGGCGGTGTTACCTTGGGTACTCTCTGATGTAACTTTGGAGAAGAGGGAAACCTGGGCCACAGCTACAAAAGGTAAACCCAGGGTCTGCAGGAAAACCCCAATGATGAACTCAGTCAACTGCCACGAAAAACTACCTACAGAAAAAGAGTAGGATCAAAATTAGTGACAGAATTTCTGATAATCCTCAAAATTTATGGCATTAATTTGAATGTTGAAGCATCATCCAGTACACATACAAGCACAACAAGCTGAAACTGACCTAATGGATTAGCGAGGAAGATGAGGCACCAGATGCAGGAGACGTTGCAAATGGTCAAACCAATGGCGAGGACCACCCGCTCTGTGAAGTGCCGGCTTAGCCAGTGCACAAGCAGGAAGCCGACAATCACCACCACACCTCCGAGGCAGTACATCACACTGTTTTCCAGCTCTTTAAAGTTGAAATATTTCTGGGTTAATGGTGTAACCATAGTCTGGAAAAAAATAAAAAAAGTAAAAAACCATTTCAGGAAAATTTGTCTAAAAATTTTCAAGTAAAATGTACTAATGTCATTACTGTTTTTATTTGATTCCTATGAGTTCATCTTTATTCAAATTAAAATGAGTAAATCAAAGTTTACAATTCCGTTTACCAAGATGTGGTTTTATGAATTTACATCTTAAATAACTAGAATATCATCCAAAAAATACATTTGTAGTAATTCCTTCACTGAAAATTAAAACTCTTATACATTAATTATACACTGAAAAGTTTCAAATGATTTTGCTTGCTAATCTTAACTAGCAAGCAAAATCAGCAAAGTATCATTTGCTGATACTTTACAGCAAATGAATTTAAGATTTTTATTGCTTATATTATTCCCAAATGAGCCATAAAAGGTAATTCTTAAAGAAATGTGATTTTAAACAGAGGGTTTCTTCCATACATCTTGAGAGTTGAGTGGAAGGAAAAAGTGTGGTTGAAAGACATGCACAAACAGCAGTGAGCAAATTGTGAGGCAAATCCTAAGAGTTTTGAGATTTAAAACATCTGAACTGCAGCTGGTATCGGTTCATCAAGAGCTCCTTTTAAACATATACTAGACAGAGTACAGCTCTCACATTCCTCGTTTTAAGCCACTCCAGAACCACAGATGACATCAGGAAAGTCTTACATAAGTGTAAAGAAAAAGAATTTTACCGATGCTGTGGTCCAAAGTGAACTAGTCAAATGAAAGTAAAGTTTGCTTTTCATTTGGAAATTAACATCCATAGTCTAAGGAGTGGAGAAGCTCAGTGTCCATTGTGAAGTTTCCACAGTGTTGATTTGGGGGAGCGATCAAGTACGTTAACTTTGCTTCCATTTATGCAAAAACACCCCAGACTCCAGTGGACACATTTGGCCTTATGAAATGTACCAATTGTTAGCTGTAATGACCATCCAAATAACAGAAACCAACACCAGAAATGTATGCACATATAGCTTTTTCTTGACAGAAATAAGGGAACTTTTTAAATTATATTCTAATTTATTAGGATGCAACTAAAGCCAAAAGTCTACAAAGTCTCTGTGTCACAACCCTGATTCGTAGGGTTCAGCAAGTCTCCTGAACTCAGACATTTTGGCAACTCCTAGTTTTCACATCATGATTCTTGTACTCTGAGAACAAGAACTTGTTTTGGTGCTAAAGTCACATGACTGTTGTATACGTGTAAGTATGTGCACCTCCAGCGCAGTCTGATTGAAAAGGGTGATGAACTGAGCAGCCAGCAGCACAATCACTTCTTCTCTCAGGAACTCTGATACAAAAACAGTAGGCAGAGCAAAGTTACAGGAAAACCAAATTTCAAGAACTTTGATATACCTTTCTTCAAAAGCTATGACAAATAATGTGCAATGATGTATAAAGTGGTTAAGATCACCTTAAAAATTACAAACTAAATCTGCAGTCATATATTGTTAAATACTGATAATACTTATCCCTATAGAGGAAACATTTTGATACTTTACAGCAAATGAATTTGAAATTTTTATTGAACGGATGAATAAAATCAATTTTTTCAGCCAACTAAATACATACGCCATCAGACAGTTACCTTGGCATGTGATGGAAATCCTGAAAGGAGTGGGAAGCTCATGGGTTGGCAATGTCACAGGAGATTCAACCGGCGAGTCGTTGGGTTCAGCCGATCTGTGGCCTTTGCACATGCTGGACGTCGTCACAGAGCCGTAGGAGCCCACAAGCTCCTGGGAGGTCATTAGCGGCATGACCTCCTCCTCGACTTCCTCTTCGCTAGGGCCTGGTACGTTCTCTTCTTCATGGGGGTTTGAAATCCTTCTTTCCATAGGTGGCAAGTCCCAGTACATGAAGACCACTGCTAGTTGTAGGAGAATCCACAACAGAAACATAAACAGCTGAAATGAGCAGAAAAGAGGATTGTTAGTTCTTGGTCGGGTATCTGGGAGCTTGTGATCAGTTTACATTACAATTTGGATTTTTTTGTATCCTTACCCCTGGCGCAGTATATTTGTTGACAATAAAAGGACCAATATGGAAGTCACAGAGCCTCAGAAATATGTTTAATGCAGGACCTAAGTAAAACCAAGGTAAAATTTTCACTGACAGATTCTGGGTAAGTGGAATCAGATAAAACGCTGTCCTTGATGCGATTTAAACATTGTGAAAAAATTACAATAAAATTATAATTTTATTAATATAGCAGAACACAGAAGCACAAACCAACTAGAAGGCCAGCCTGTCTACAAGCCATGACAGCAGCAAATACAGTGGTCCGGTCCTCTGAAGTAGTGCTTCTGGTCAGGAAGCCAAAAATTGATGAGCCAGCACCTGTACCAATGCCTGATGAAAATTGAGAAGAAAAAAAAAAATCTCATGCTTATGTGATTTGGTACGAGTTACAAATGAAAACACAAAATGTGCAATTTGATCTGAGGGGAAGTGCTCACATTACTAAGAACATTTCAGTTTTTCCACTAAGAAAATCTAGAATCAAACCTGTGCAACTTGGCATATTGCCATCTTACATTAAACTCAAAATATAAAACACAAACACTGAAAATTAACAGGTCATTGCATAGAGTTTGTCCAAGTTCATTTAAAAAGTTTAAGGATCAATGGTAAAGTCTGAGTAAGGGTCTAAAAATCCACACAAATATGCCATTTTTCTGGAGCATATGCCAAGCTTCATTAGTAAAACATAACCAAAACAAAGCCAGCATTATAGAAGCTTATAGACAAGGACACCCAACACTGATTTTAGCATGATGTGTGGATGCAGTCCATATAGCAAAACTTGACTGTCTTTTGTGTGGTCTTCAGTAATTCAGAAGTTGACTTTGTGATGTCCTCTGGATCGCTAACTCCAGTTACACTCGAGCACAAGGTCAGAAATTGATGGCTGGACATTCTTCTTCAGTTTTTCCACTACAGAGAAAAGTCTATGGTCCCCTCAGTGACAGCAAATTGTTGAGATCTTAAACCATCAAAAAAGGCCCACACCACCACCAAATTTCTGCTGAACAAAAAATGTTCATGTTAAATTGCCTGTATACGTGTATGGTGATTTATCAGGTTTAGAGGACCCCAAAGTGATTAATTCACCCAGTCATAGACATGCAGATGGTGGCAAGTCACATTATAGCACCAACTGCCCTGGGTCAATCCAACAGAAGAGTGGCTGCCTCTGACCACCACAAGCAGGCAAGATGAGTAAAGTGTCTTTCCCAAGGACGCACTGAATGTGGATGAAATGGAGGCTCGAACCAGCAACCTACCATTTACAGGACAAACTCCTATCACCATGTCCACAATCACCCCACAGTTAATCCATGATTTAACAAGGGCTATGATGTTTTTTTTTTTATTATTGTTATTTTAAACAAAGGGCCAGAATAAACTGAAGGTTTGGCAAGTTCTGTTCTCCAGATAAATTAAATCCCAAAAACTGCATTTTGCATTTACTTTTGTCATCACTTAGCCAACGACTTAAGGCAGCGTTTCTCAATTCCGGTACTCACACCCCCACTGCCCTGCATGTTTTAGACCACACCGGAATTGCATCTCTGGGTAATTAACAGGCTTCTGCAGCAATTGATGGTTATGCAATCATTTGACTCAGCTGTTCTAGAATAGAGGCACATCTAAAACATGCAGAGCAGGGTGGCCTGAGGACTGGAATTAAGCACTGACTTAAGGACAAACATAAGGAGGGAAATACTTTCTTTTACACCCATTTACATGCTACTAAAGCCAATAACAATGAGGCCGGTGGCAATGTTTACAAATCATGTCCGTCATCTCATCTACAACCAGTGCTATAAATTTTCAAAGGTTCATAACGTGTTGGGTTACATCATTGTAAATTAAAAAAAAACCACTGATTTATAGCAGTGCTATTTTTTTAATAGGCATCATTGTGAAGGATAACTTACCAGCTAGCAGCCTACTTGACAGTAAAAGCCACTTGGAGTAGCCCATGAAGTACATAAAATTACCTGCAAAAGACAAATTATGTAGTAGTTTTTTTTACAGAAGGGTTGGAGACAACTGAAGATAATATTTGTAGGCAAGAACAGAGTATAATATGGGAAATGGAAGACTTACCAATTATCTCAAAAAGGTTACAAAGCAAAATGATTTTCTTTGTCGTCTGTGTCCGGTCAGACCAATATCCAAACAGCGGTCCAGACAAGAGCCCACTCAGACTGAAGGCTGACATAGCCAAACCCAGGAAATAAGGGGCTGCCTCTAAAGTCTGCAGATATCTCCATATTGTGGGTAATATAACAGCTGAAAAGAGATAAAACAGGTTTTATTTCAAATATATACATTTTAATTCGACTTCCTGCTGTATTGAAGTATTGCTGGTTTTCAAAACACTATAACTTGGTTAGTTTGAAAGTGTTCTTTAAATTTGTTAAGTTGAACTTACAAATTTAAATACTTAGCTTGATAATCTTAAAGATATGACCAAACAAGCTTTACAGATACCTGCAGATCAACTTTGCCTTTAATAAAAAAAAAAACCCCAAACAAGTCTCGTGTTAAAACCATCAGTTTTGCTTTACTGAAAATCCACAGAAAAAAGAAGTGGGGATAAAATAACTGTATGGATGACATCATTATGTAGCAACATTAAATCTTATCAATTTATATTCCGCTGAGGGAACTGCAGTCAAGCCTTTCAAAAAGAAGGGGTTCTTGTTCATCACCAATGTCCATCTGGACAGACGAAGGATAAACCATAAGCCAATCAGTTTTATAGATCTATGCATTTAATTATCTGTAAAAATGTTTCAAAAAGTAGTATCTTGTTGACTCAAATTTTGACATTTTGGTGAAGTAATCAAGTCATCTGGATCAACGTCATCCTAGCTGAAGAACTGTAGAACACTTCTACATTTACCTCTAAATTTTACTTGTACATCCCTTATTATATATGAACTGAGGACTTTGAAATTGCTTACTCACTTTAAACAGTTTCAAGTTTCACAAAGACTAGACTAAAGTCCAGATGTGTCATTTGAAACCCGTAACACAGCCATATTGATTCAACAAAAGGTTAGCAACATCTGGTACAAAATATTTTACATTAGTGGCATATTTTGTAAAAGCCAAGTAATATAGATGTATATAAAGTTCTTTTACCAACTATTCGATATTAGAAAATGTATTTAAATAGTTTTTTTAGCCACAGGATTTGGGCATTGTCTGTCTTTGATTCAACGTGTGTGTATGTGTATACGTGTGTGTAACAGATGAAGCCAAATTGGGTCATGCAGTAAGACAGCAGCAAAGCTAGAAGGGCCTGGCTGAAAAAAAATCAAGACGGCAAAGTGTTGCAATGGCCCAAGCAAAGTCCACAGCTAAAACTTTTGCTTTAGGGCCTTGTGGTTGTCTTTCCTGCTTTTGTACCATGTTCCCACAAATTTTCCAGTTCAAAATTCTGTACTTTTCCAGAGTGAAGATTCTAGATCTTTCAAGGATTTTTGTAAACAATCCATACATTCGAGTACAAAACATTTTCTACAAATCAGGAAAACAAAAGGTGAAGTTTCCTGATTTAAAAAAAAAAAAAAAGATTATCCCGTCAATGTCAATCTAGATATTTGGGGTCATCTTTACTTAATTCAACTCTGTTTAAAGTCCTTTTAAACTAGTCTCTATTTGAAAGAGAATTTAAACTTGATGAGGTTGTGATGTCTTGTACATTATTTTGTTTAAAAATATAAATAGGGGGTAGCATAAATAAGGAGTTGCATTTTTTAAGCCACAGCTCTGATTTAAATTCATAATCTAGGAGTGCATGTAGGGTAAAAACAATGTAAAGAATAATAAATGTTTTGTTCATTTATTAGTTCAGATAACAAATGGTAAAATCTAACATATACCCAAGATGTGATATGGCAACCCAAGATGGAGCATGGCATTTAAACTGAATGTAGAATCAAATCCACTTCCATACCTTTCAAAACGGCATAGTCAACTAGCGTCTTTGCAGACTCTTAAAAGACACACAAGACTAGTTAAAATAAATGGTGGTATATTCATTTTCAGACACTAATGTCATTGCCCCCCCTAATACGAAGTGTCAGTGAGCAGTTAATAAACATCTTACCATATTCCACACCGCTAAAAAGAAAAATGAGTCCAATGGTGGAGAATGTCAGTTTCTTTTTGCGTTGATAGTCCATTGTGGCTGACTTAATAATCTTCTTTCACTGACTTTTCAAGACATCATCGTCTCTAAATGAAGCTCTGCTGAAATAACCCCGAGTGCCGGGTGCTTCCAATTAACGCCGACGGAGATGAGATCCTAAATCTGTCGGGAGCCGAAAGACAGGAGAAAGAAAACCACCAAGAGCGCACTGCGTTTGCTTTTCTGAGCAGCTAATAAGCACAAAGTCACTTGAAAATTTTTTTTGTAAACTCTCAGACCAGATCCTGCTTACCGCAACCAATCCCTACAGCGCTAAACGCGTATAAATCTGCCTTCGCGCAGATTACATCACTTCCGGTAGCGCAAAAACTGACATCCCAAAGTGTAACCTGAATTTTCATTCCTGTTGTCATAAATAAGCATTCATATGCGTTTTGAATGCATTTGAATGGAGTCTCTGAAAGTAACCATTGAAAAACTTGACAACTGACAAAATTCACCAATATCAAAATGTTTTAGGTGTCAAACTCCAGTCCTGGAGGGCCACTGTCCTGCAACTTTTAGATGTGCCTCTGCTGCACCACACCTGAAAAGAATAATTAGGTCATTAGCGAGGCTCTGGAGAACTTATCTACACAAGAAGGAGGTAATTAAGGCATTTCATTCCAGTGTTTTGTACCTGTGGCACATCTAAAAACTGCAGGACTGGAGTTTGACACCCGTTTAGCCTCTCTGTATTCTAATTAATTTTGTCATCACATTGGGCTCATCAGTCATTGTAATATTTTCGTTTCAAAAACTGTGCAGGAAATAACGGAAACAAAATACTGTGGGATTTTTTAAGGTGGCTGATATTAGTGCTTCCAGTACCTAGCAAAAGTATTCCTGCTTGAACTTTTTCACATTTTATTTCGTATATTTCTTTTGCATAATATTGTGATTTTATATGATAGACCATTGCAAATTAACGCATGGCTGTGGAATGGAATGAAAATGAATGTTCTTCAAATAACAGTCTGAAAAGTGTGGTGTGCAAATGAATTCTGCCCCATTTAATCTGATGCCCCCCAAAAACATAAAGTGCAACCGGCATGCTTCCAGAAGCAACCCAATTAGTAAATAAATTCAAATCGTGTGTAATTTATATTTTGTTGTTCTGGGTGGGTCTAAAATGTCTCTTAGGGAGTGGTTGTGCACAAAAGCCTTCATGAACACAGTAAACAGGCACAATATAAAGTTATAAGGATGGATAGATCTACAATCACAGATATAAAAACCCTGTTAGAGACTTGAGGTGACTTTAAAAATATCCTCAAAACAACAATAGTGTTTTAGGAAAGGTGTATCCACGCTACAATCTGTATCCAGACTTAATGCCAATTGAGAATAGCGTTCACAGACACTATGTAGACAATGTGAATACTATTGTAAAGCGATGTATTGAACCCATTGAACACGTTAGAATAAATGCATTAAAATTTATGCGCGAAGCGAGTGTGAATTGGAAAATCTGATGTTGTGATTTATTAACTTCCAGCTGAAAAAATCAAATATTTCTAATTTTAAAAAATGAGTATATTGTACATTATGTGCATGCAGGCCTGTTTTACACCATCAGAAAATTCCATGTTAATTAAAGTTTTACTTGCATTTATCAGGAATGTGCGAGTCACTGGAAACTCTTCTCTGTCCTGTGACATTCATTACCACAGGCTTGCACAGCTCTGTTTGTGCACAAAAGCTGCTTTTTCTTGCCTTTAATTTAATTTGCAGTCCCCAGCATCATAGAATTTCAGTTTGTCCCCATCTTGAATTTTTCATGGCCACACCACTTAATATTCAAAGTCGATCTTACAAACCTTTAAGTTGAGTGGTTTGTCTATATGTGAAATAAACAAAATGGTTGTGAAAATGTAACATCTGAAAATGAATTCTGTAAATGCAAACTTAAATTATATCAACCGTCATCCCCTTGAACAAAACTTCTGAATTGTAGGAAGATGTCTCAGGTAACTTTTTTCATGTTTCATCTCACTATTATCAGCAAGTCTTGCTGGTGTCATGCTGTTAAAAATCCAAATAAATATGATGTTTAAGGTGAATATCTGCAGGTTTTGAGATGAAAAAAAAAAACAATAAACCCCACATTGGATCAAGATCCTTATGCAAATGTCTGGTACTTTGAATGTTTCCATTAGTTGTAAAATATACACTACAAAAAGCTCCACCCAGAGCTGAAATCAAGACTGTGCAGAAACCCTGGTAAATGGACATCAAGCCACAAAACAAAAACATTATCCAGGTTGATCATCAGCTAAACATAGTTTTTTATAAAAGAAATATTTATTTACAATTGCTTGAGCATGAGATTGTATCTGTTCACTTTTACCAAAGTCTTGAGTCTGTACTACGTCTCTGTTGAAGCATTATCGCGAATCAAGACACATAGAAAATATGTTTCCAAAAATATTTTTCCAATAGAGTCCATGTTATTCTTCTGTTAAATTGGTCCAGACCTAGAGATGTGAATTTCACTATGACTTCAAAGATAGATGACAGCAGAGTGCAGTGCGTGGGTGAGGGAGTAGACCGGTGCTCAGAAGGCCAGCTTTTTCATAAGAAGGTAGACCCTGGAGTCCACTTCAAAGCCGTGAAGGTTGTTGGCGTCTCCCTGCAGCCTCATAAGCAGACCTCCATAAGACACGTAGGCAGAGCTGAAAGGATAAGCATATCATACAATTACTTTTTTTGTCCTAGACCTATTTGCCATATTTTCATGCAGATTTCATGTTTTGCATTATACATACTAAATAACTTCATTTGACTTAATGTCACTGTCACTCACTCATGCTGCACTGCCAGTTTACTTACAGACGTGTCGCCGCTTCAGTTGATGTTTCATCGCCTTCAATCTTGTACACCTTTCCATACATCACATACTCAAACTGGTCTGCTCTACAAAATCAAATGTAACTCTGAGTACAAACTTCAAACTGCAAACAGCATGGTGTTGCTTACTTACATTAACATGCAGAAATGTATGCGGTAGAAAATGCCTTACCGAGACGGTCGATCGTCCTGAGGGTTGTACTCTCCATCATCTGGTGTTCCGTCCTCATATAATGTGCTGGCAATCACAAGTCTGAACTTGTCACCTTAATGACATAGAAAATGAAATGAGAGAATGATGACATTATTGTCTTGACAGATACCCTGACATAGGTTTACTCTGGATTCAAGTTTTATACCTATGTTTTTTTTTTTACACATCTAGTTTGAACAATTGAGAAATAAAACCACTGTACCTAAATAAAAACCAATTGACATCAGATAAAGAAAAAGCACATGCAAAACTGTTAAAAAGCTTTCTAATTAACTAGATAACATTTTTTCAAAATAAGATTTTTTTTTTTATAACAACCATCTTGGACAAAAGCAGTTAAGATCTTACCAAGATCAACAGGATATATCTGAATGTTCACATCCAAGATGAGGTCCATCTTGAAAGATTCACTCTCACAATGTAGTCGAGACACTTAAAACAAAACAAACAAAAAAAAAAACACGTAAACAACATGTGCTGTGTAAAAATATTAAATTTTAAACAATTAAGTTTTCTAGAAGATTTAGATTTTCCATTTGTCACCACCAGTCAATGGGCTTAATGCTATGGTTGCCTGGTTTAGAAAAAAAAAGCACATTGGACCCTCATAAAACTAAGCAGAGACAAGATCAATAAATCCATGAAACACATTAATAATACAGGCGTGTAGACCTTATATTATGCGCTTTTGTTTCACTTCCCTCTTGTGTAGGGTTTTTTATTTCATCTCTCATACCTCTGTCAAACTTCTTGCCATCTGGATCAATGTCTTTTACATCAAAGATATCTTCAAACAGAATTCCAGCCATTTTGTGTTAAGTCTGACTTCCTGGAAGAGATAAAATAAAATAAATACAAAAAATAAAAACACCAGACAACCGATATCCAGCATCAAAAAGAGGACACAATTTACAACAGCAACATTTAAAACATACAGAAAATGAAATGGATATTTACAAAAAATCATGGTGCCTAAAACTGTACAATCTACTTCTTTAGTGTTGGGTAAAATCAATTGTATTTTTCACTGATGCTCAAACCAGCATTCATTCTTTTGTCTCTTCTTGATTACTGTAATTCCCTGTTTGTTGGTCTGCCTAAAAAAATCCCCTCAAACATCTCAGATTATTACAGAACAACGAAGCTAGAGATCTCAACAGAATATGATAATTTTACTCCGACTCTTGCTTTTTTGCATTGATTACCCGTGGTGTGTAAAGTTGATAACATATAAATTAAGATTTAACTGTAAGATTTTCAACCAATACTTGGACTTGCAACATCTTATTTTACAGAGCTACGTATTCCTTACGCCACCCGTACAAATACATTTGCTACTATTATAACTACAACTTCTGTTGCTATGTTCAAGCTAAATGCTAATTTTAGCATGCTGCCCAGACCATTTTTAAACTTACCACAAAAGCTGTTCTTCAAATAGACTATAAGCACAATAAAACTACAGCCACTCTGTGTGGTTGAAAGGCCCCAAGTGTTGAATATAAGTACTAAATTTGTTAACACAATGCGATTTCATTCATAAATATCTAAACCATAATATCCCGCGGAGGAACAATGTGCTCAACCTTTGACACGGGAAGTACTTCCGGCCACAAAATGACATAAAAAAAACTGGTAAGATTTAAAATGACAAAAATATTGAAAATTACACAAAAACCAGTCAGCTCAGAGACAGCAATTAAATATTGATAAATATAGATTAACCTCAAGAATTTTATATATTCTTTGTAGTTTTATGTTACAAGTGTATCCCACGTTCTAATGTGAATAAATAGAAAAAAACACTTAACAGAACTTAGGTGTGGTTTTATTTCTTTTTCAAACAATAATTTTATTAATTTTTTGGGGATAAAACATAAGCGTGTTCAAACGGTGTGTACGACATTTATCTCCACTTTCCGGCTTCATCTGGTTGCTAAGTAGTTTTAGCGTCCTTTCTGTATACAGTTGCTAGCTAATCGTTAGCTGACTGAAATTTAGGGGGAAAAAGGGGCGAACAAAGCCCTGTCGAAAATGTGTTTAACACGATTTAGTTACGGATTGATGCATAGAATAAGGATTTCTTATCTGATTAATTCCAATAAGCGATGGGCGAATGAGGTAAGAATAACGATAATATCCTCAAGTAACGTTATTGATTAGCTAGCTTGTACATTAAGTTAAAGTTGACGTTTAAAGATGTTTAGCTTCATCAGAGGGATAACAGTGAGTTGAGATATTGCGAGAATTGTCTGGCGTAGTTGCAGCTTTGATTAAAATCGAGAACAATGTAATGACAATAAGGATACAAAACCCAAGTACTTAACTTAAGAAATCGGTTTATGATTGATTGTACCATTTCTTATTTGGTGTACAATAACGATTTAGTCTTTGTATGTGTGCAGTTTTGTTTTGACTTGCTATAATGGTAATGAATTGTTCTGTCTTTGCAGCCTGCAACAATGCTACTTTGATTTCCAGACACGATTTATGAAAGCAGAAATCTTTCCTGTCTCTTTGGGGTGAACATTTCTGGTACTCGCATGAGTTCTAGGGAGCGAGCCAAGATGGGGGACATCTTGGCAACTGAAGCTGATCTTCTTGGGATGATCAAAGAGGTACCACATTTTTGCAGCACACACATTATGCACTTTATTGGCATTAATGACGTATTTTTGCATTTGAATTGGTGTGAAACCTAATTTAGAATTTTACTGCTAACTATTGGCAATTCATAAAATTTGCAGACACATTTTGTATGTTATATGTCCCACATGTGAGTTTATTTGAACTTTGTTTTTATTTTTGTTTTTTTTTTGGTAGTACCTTAACTTCGAAGAATTTGAAGAGACTGTTCAAACTTTTGACAAGGAGTGCAAAACCAAAGGGAAGCTTGTGTCGAAGCCTCGTGGAAGTGCTCTCAGAGACTCAAAGACCCGTGTCATCCAGGTACATGATCCAGTAATGAAACAGTTGAGGAAGTTTTTGTTCCGTTATTGTAATTTATCATATGTGGTGGTACAGACTGTTATCAAATAGGAAGATTAGTAAGAAGTAGGGCACAGATTCAAGTGGACTTTGTGGATTAGTGCTAGCAGAAACTGGTGTTTTATGTAAAAATACACATGCACATTTTGAACGTTTTAAATGCCCGTACTTTGTAGCACATTTGTTTTGATCTGATTATTCTATTTTTTAATAACTGTGCAGAATTACTGTTTTATGTTGGAAATTTGCCCTTATTGTACAGTCTCTCTTTCTTATTGTCCTGTTTTTAGATTTGTCTTGCCTTAGCTTGAATATGCATGCTTCTGTTTTTATTTAACTTGTTGCTGGTACACTGGAGACAATATTTCCAAATATTCCAATATATTTCTATTCTATTTTAATGGTGCAATATGCAATTAAATATGCACAAAGCCAAATTTCCCCATCTAAGTTCTTACTTATTCAAATGTGCTTGTACTTGTTTAAATCTGACTTTTTCAGGAAGATCTTCTGAGCTCCTTTGATGACGGCGACCACAAAGTGTTCTTTGATCTCTGGGCAGAAAACATTCCCTCAGCAGTAAAAGACTCAGATGATGAAGCACAGAACCTTGAGTTCTACCTTCGTATCCACTTCACTGTCTACCCACTGAGGACACACCCGAGTAGACAAGTATGTAGATTTATAGTTCATTTATTTTTTGAGAGAAGTAATGGTGTAATTATGCATAATGTGCAGTTGTTGAAAGTGTTCACTAGGTGGTGCCACATTCTCTTTTTAAGCCAGGCATTATTGGTCATGCACTGTTTTCCTAACTTCCAGCACATCTTTCACTCTATTAGCCATTATGACTCAAATTAGCTAAACTCTAATTAAATCGTATATTGATATTTAGAAAATTATGAGCTATAGTTAGAGCTGCTTACATTATTTTAATTCCTTTATTCTGCATACTGTGGAGAGTCATTTAGCCAAAAGGAACACTTTTTTTAATGATATAATCAGCTTCTGTGACATTCAGCTATTAGTTTCAAATAAATAACGAAACTGACCAGCTGTCATCTCTCTGCAGGACCGAGCTGAATTTGAGGAGAGGATTTTCCTTTTCAAGCAGTACCTTGAAACTCGTGGATCAGCTCTGAGCCAGACTACTGAGTTTTTGCCTTATTACGCTTTGCCTTTTGTTCCCAATCCAACCATTCACCCTTCCTTTAAAGATCTCTTTCAGGTGCTCAAACTGCTCTAAAAGGCATTTCTTTTCCTGTTTTTTTTTTCTTTTGCACATTCTTTCTAATAATTCTCTAATATGTCTTAAATTTTTAACTAGGATTCCTGGATGCCACAGTTGAAGGACAAGTTGGAGAAGTTCTTATCAGTGACTCTAAAATCGTCTAAGATTCCAAGGCTGTTGACTTTATATGTATCCTTTTTCTGTGCCTCATCTATTGGCTCTGAGAAAACTCCTCTGACTGCACGCAGACCTTTGGTTTGGTGTGGTTAGTTTAGTGTTGTTTTCATCAGTGATCTCAAAGCCCTGCATTCAGAGTAAAGGGTTTTAAAATTGTAGGTAGCTTATAGCTAATAGTCATAATAAAAAGACATCTTTGCTTATAAAATGTGTCAGAATGCAAATAGTTCTGCAAATTACTTCTGTCAATGTATTCATAAAGATGATTATTACAGAGTGTAGTTTGTTAGTTAAATATTCACACATTTCACAGCAAATATATAACTGTAGCCAAGATACTTATTTGTGGCTTGTAGATGGTTTTGTATGTCCTCAGACTTAAACAAATATTTTTATTTTATTTTCTACGTTATTTGAGACTGGAGGTACCATATAGGTTAATAAATCATGATAATTAATAATTAACGGGGACAAGGAAGAGAAGTAAAAATTGTGACATTTAGTAAACCTGGATAATGCTTAAGCTCTTCCGAAATAAATTGATAAATATATGTTACATAGCTCTTTTATAGTAAAATTTAAAAGAACAGCTAAGATTTTCTTAAAAATACTATAAATTTTAATTAGCAAAAAGTCCACATTTATTTTGAAGAAATCTTGTTTTGGAGGACATTTGCCTAAGAAGAAATAGCAATAAACTATGGACGTTCCCAACTACGACCTTGCACCATGGTTCATGTTTTATTCTTGAATTTGTAATTAGTTTACCATATTTTATTTAGGTCTCATATCATCAAAATAGCAAATAGTTCTGACAAAAAATGTGAAGCTTTTCCAATACCAAACATGCTTTACAAGAGAAAAGAACTTTAAATGCAGGTAGTAGTTTTAAAATGTTGTGTTATAGAAACGCTGGATTAGACCAGTTTGACGACAGAAGGGCGTTTGTTATGCGTGACTGATTCATAGGTAATGTAAGCTTATATTGACTCTATCTTTCGTCTCTTCCCAGCACAAGATATACAAACTATTACTGTACAAACATCTATGAATTTTCTTACTCAAACAGAATGTATTGAGCTTTTTTGACTTTATTTTATCTACTGCTTATGCAAGACGTATATACGTTTAAACTGATTGTATGCATTTACTTCCAGATTAACCACTCAAATAAGAAAATGAAGAAATAAATGCTGCTTAGCTTCTTTACTAGAATCCATGTGTATTCTTTAATAAACATTATGCAGAAGGAGGGCGGAAGAACTACGAAAGGTAAATATTTGTGTCAAATATATTAAAATTTGATATGTCTTTCTGTTTGTGAAAATATGTCCACTGTTGACTGTATATAACTGGTTGGCAGATAATACAGTTTTGAATAGATTTTCAGATTGTCTAAATTTCCGTGTTTAATGACGCTTAACACAAGGAAAGTGTTTCTTTCATGAAAATACCTACTTGCATTAAGGGAGATTATAGAAGGTCTAAAGCTGTGTTTCAAAATTTACAACAAAAAAATCCCATTTACGGTTTTGTTTTGTGTTTCAGTAATAATAACCAAATAGGCATCTGTTGGATTAGAGTTAGTATTTTATCCTCTCAGTCTAGGATTCAAAAGCAACAAAGGTGGATAAACCCTCTGAGGCTTGTACTAATATTTGTTGTATTTGTTTGCAACCATTTTAAATGGTTGTAATGAAAGATTTGAATAGGTAAATACTGACTTAAGTACAATATTTAATTGTGAAATATTTAGTGCAAACAGTTGTTTGATTTAAAAATGATCAATCGGATGTTTTTTATATTCCAACTTATAATAATAGATTTCAGAGGCAATGGCACATTTTTTAATTTGCCCCTGGGGCACATAAACCTCAGTCTGACTGTGTTTGTGTGACCGCACAGAAGCCATGCAGCAGTTGCAACTTCAGCTGGCTGAGTCGGAGCGACGCATCTCCAGCTACGTACGGAAGTGTAACAAGGTCAAAGCTGACTACCATAACCTTATTGGGATCACTGCTGAGCTGGTCGACTCTTTGGAGGCCACTGTCAGTGGAAAAATGGTAGGCTGGGCTGATTGCATGTTTAAAAATGTACTCAACAAAAACATAAACGCCCCATGTCAAATATTGTTGCCATGTGGAGTTAACAACTGTAAATGAGCATTTGCTGACATTTTACTGCGCAAAAGTAATATTTATCTTGATTTGTGTATAATTTTTAATCCAACTTGCTGTCAGTGAGTTGTTTTTTTACTCAGTGCATGGGTGGGACATGTCCACTGGGTGATCAGACAAAACGAGCACAATCCTCGGACTGGGGACAATCAAAAACCTCCCCAAAATGTCAAATTTAGTCACAAGTCTTAATGCCTCAGCTGTCGCAAGTTATGCGGGAGCGTGCCATCGGCATGTTGGATGCAGGGATGTCCACCAGAGCATTAGCTGCACAGCTCAATGCCCATTATCGGACCGTAGGCCGTTTAAGAGTTTGTTTCCAACAGACTGGCACTACTGCAAATCGACCTCATCCTCGTGAGCCGCGTGTGACCACTCCAGCACAAGCTCGCCACATCCGGCTCGTCCGTCTGTGGGATTGGATAAGACCAGCAACACACACAGCTGATGAGACTATTGGTCTGGTCTGCACAACAGACGCATCACACCTAAGACTGTCCGTAACCGCCTACGAGAAGCCAATTTGGTCAAAATCAAATTCCTCAACCTGACCCATATCATGTTCAAAGGACTGTCAATCCGCTACAAATGGCCATACCACGATGTTATCACTGCCAATATGAAGATCAGTAATAAATTATTGAAAATATATTTTGAATTTCTCTATATATTGCGTAACCCTTCATAAAACTCTTATATTTGACACGGGGTGTTTATATTTTTAATCAGTGTACATGCCGCATATACAAACTAAAGACTACACATGATGCTTTGTTTTTTTGTTTTTTTGGGGGTGGGTTTTTTTGCAGTTGCAAAGTAAAGACCAGTACAGAAACAAGTCATTTGTGTTTAATAGTATTTATTTCTAATCCAAATTTTTAAACAAAAACACACATTCCAGTGAGCAGATTTTAACGTAAAAAGGACCTTGTGTATTTTTTTTTATTTTATTTTTTTTTTGCAGATTTCCCCTGAGTATCTGCAGAGTGTGTGCGTTCGCCTATTCAGCAGCCAGATGAGGCAAAGTGCTGTTCAGAGCACGGACTTCACAAGGCCCGGCACTGTAAGAACCACACACAACCACAGCTATTTCTCACGTCCGTTTCTCTCTATTCCACCTCTTTCATCAAAGATTGGAACAAGGCTTTGCGAAGCGCGTCATAAAAGTCACATAGGCGAGGGCTGTCAGTAGTCACGTCAGACAGGGCTGGACGGACTGACGCGGTGTTTGAAAAACACATAAGGATTACTAACTGATATGGTGGGTGTCTCTGTTTGCACACTCCACCGTCAGCGATAAATCAGGATGTATCCGGCAAGTAAGAACCAAGATCCTAGTTTTGCTTTGTACATACAAAAAAACTTCTCGGAAAATTACATATTGAAAATACACAAGCGAGAGCAAAAAGGGAGGAACTGTGTTTGCCTTTCATTGTAACTCACAGCAAGACTTCAAATCAGGCTTAATCTAGACTAGTGTTGGTGCCAATTTACAATCTGTAGTTACGCAGATTATGAAAACGTTGCTGTCCAGTGGATTGTGTGTGGTGCCACGAAAAACTAATGACAGTTTAGAGAGCAGTGCATTACAGTCTAGTACAACAAGTGATGGAGGACTGATGTCACCTATGTGACCATTAAAACCGTTTTACTATGCAGTGGAAGAAAGATGACTGCTGTCAGAGATGCTGATTTTTACGTTGGTTCAGACGCTTTTTGCTATTTTGTTTTCGCAATCCGAGTGCTCCAAAACGTTGAGTTGCAAAGGAGAAAGAGCGATTGGAGTTCAGCGGTTAGCTATCCTTGCCAATACACAGGGCATAATACTGCTCTACGTCCACTTACTAGCATTAACATGATTCCAAATTTACACTGCATTGTTTTAAAAAGACCTGGTTACATGTGGACAAGGTCTTAACCTGCTGTCTCCACTTTAAGCCTTTACAGAAGAGTTTCTATCCTCATAGTGGTGCTTGCAGTCAGTGGTCTTTGACGTGCTGTTGTATTCCTCCTGTGAAATCTTGTGTTTGTATGGTTTGATCTGAACGAGCCTTTTTTTTTTACTGTGTGTGTTTTCTTTGTGTGTGATGCTTTTGTCCACAAAGGGATATTACTCTATGAGTCCGTATGATGATGGCTATGTAAGTTTCATGTTTACATCTTTTTCTTCCATCATCCCTTCTGTCCCTACCGTCCATCTTGCTTGTTCCACTCTGTATCGTCTCCCCTCACATCATAAAATGTAACTGCTCTCTGTCAACATGAATTCATTTCTTTGCCTGACCCCATGCTCAGTTTTTTATATTTTTTTTTCTTCTTTCCATTAGATTGCCCTAGTTTAAAAAGATGTGTCTCTATCTGTCTGCTTAAGGATCCTTTTGTTAGCCCGGTTATGAGGCCATAGTGTCTTTCAGACTCTACCTCAATATTGTGTCCTATTCTTTCACCTCTTGCTTGTGTCTCTTTTAAAAGCAGTTTCAGTTTTATCCTGTTACATTCTTTGGTATTTTTTTTTTAACATGTTAAATAAAAACTTTAATGAGAGTAGCCAACACAAAGTGCATTTTTCCCACAGTCAGGCTGTAAAACACTGCAGATGGCTTTAATTACTGGTAATAAATGGGATGTTTCAGTATCAATGACAGAGTCTGAGGTTTGACATTCATCATTTTCCGGGTCAAGTCGCAGAGAAGAAAGATGGACACAGTTAAAGACTGAATAGCCAGAATGATAATTCATGTGTTTTTAAACGGTCGTTGAATTGGATCATTTGAAGTGATTGTACACAACGGTGAACTCTTCAGGCAATATGGGCAAGGATTATCATTTTTATTGAAAAAAAGCAGAAAAAAACAGTTATTTTAGTGTTCTAATTTCCCTCAGGTTAAATATAAATTTCACGCTGTTTCCACAGACACATTCAGATTGTTTCCTTGTCTTGGGTCATATTATGTTGCTTTTTGTCAAAAGTTTATTCATTATATTTTATTATATATTTGAGCTGAGATGTAACAGCTGTGAGGACACTACCCCACCTGTTTGGTGACGGTTCTTTGCCTGAATGTTGCATACTGCATGGACAATATTACCCACAAGCCCCTTCACTGTGTATATCAGTGTCCAGCATGTTCAGATAAGGCATGATGAATGCATGTATTATATTATACTAACAACTTAGCTGGTGGAAACTACATGAAATGAAGATTACAGGAATAATTTGAACACTTGCATGTTTTATGTTCTGCTTTGTGTAAAGTAAACTAAAATCATGATTATTAGACTGAAACAATAAATGTTCTAAAATATACATCTTGTTTTTTTCATGTACTTCCTGTTTTAGGCCTCGTCCATGCTACGTGCATCTATTGCGCTACAGTAAGTGTTTAATTGTATATTTTTTGTGCAGTTTATTTGGTCAGATCCTAAAATGTAAAAAATAAATCATTGACACGCAGGAGGCCTAAGGAGGTGCCAATGCTGCCTTCTCTGGACTATGACAAACTGAAGAACGACTTGGTTGTCGGCTCCGACAGACTGAAGTGTCTCCTGCTGCAGGCTCTGCGCTGGGTAGGAAGGGTTTTAGGAGATTCTTATATCGTTACTTTGCAGATTAATTTTCATTTCCTTTTTTCAGTTCTCAGAAGCTTGAGTCCATGTTGTTTCTGCTTCGCTGTATCTGTCAAATGATTGCATGCTATTACATTTCTTTTTATCAGCAGGAATGGAACTATTTGAGCCTTCAGCTTAGTCTAGCCTTTTTAATTAATTGCTGATCATCTGCACACATTGAAACTGTCCCCTTGGTAGAAGTAGCAACAGCTCTTCTTCTTAAAGGGATGTTTATTATCATCTTATTACACATTGTAATTTTTGAGCATAACAAAGAGTACCATGAGGGCTTAAGTAGTAACTGAATTAAACATAGCATGATATTTATCTTATTTACATGATGGATGAAGACTTTTTAATCGTTAAATTCTGTTTGTGTAGAGAATAACTCGCTCACTCCCTGGTGAACAGAGGGACACGGTGCTTCAAGCCTACATCAGTAACGACCTGCTGCAACGCTACAGCACCAATAAGGTGGGCCAGCGGTTTCTGTGGAAATGCTTGAATTGGATAGAAATCCTAAAGCAAATGTTTACGATTATAACAAGTCTTAATTGCTTTAGTTAACTTCATGCTCGCTGAAGTTCTGAGCATTTAACACCTGAATCGGGCTTTTATGGTGAACGTTTGACATGCTAACACTAATAAAGGAATATACCATCTGCCCTGTAATTTCACTCTGTACATAAAGAGGACCTAACCTCTTTAAAAAAGCCTGCCCTGTGCAATTCTAAAGTCCAGTTCAGCGTCATGAATCATTTGATGCTCTGTGCTGATTTAAGGTTTGGTGCCTTTTCTGCGTCGCATCTGAGATGATGCGTTTGATGGACGATCAAAAAGTTTTAATGCTTATAATATTTTCCACTATAACTGTACTAATGCTGGTAATTATTAAACTCAATTACTATTTTATTTTTAAATAGCATGCAACTCGGTGTATAAAGAATGTGACCTACAGACAACCTGATCTATTTTGGGAGCTTGTCACTATTTTCTTTTTAATTCTTCTTGATTTAAGATCGTCGTGTTGCCCACCCCTGCATGAAAATGGAATTTGTTTATATTACATTTAAATTAGTAGTAAAAATGCAAACTGAAAACACAAATGCAATACTGCCAGAGGGTGATCAAGTAACAATGCATGCATGCAAACTTTTACCGTCCACTTGAACCTTGAGATGAATGCAAATGTTTTAAGACGCTTGCAGATTATTTAGATGATGTTGACTTTAGAGGAAAAGAAACTCAAAAATGATCAACGATAGTGGTTGCTCGGAAGTTTGTTTTAATCTACATGCAAAGAAATGACTCTGTGTTTTTCCTTTGTCTTAGAAAGCTGTGCTTCATTTGATGAAATCAGCAAACGAGGTTGTCCGTCAATACACTGCCCGCCTCATCAATGCATTTGCTTCCCTTGCAGAGGGTATGTTCCTAATAGCCTTTGGTTTTGCATCTTTATTTCTTGGTAATATGAGTCATAGCCTCGTTAAAGTTTCTTGTGGAAATGTAGATTGATCGAAGACCTCAGGACTGAAACCACTAATAATGCTCTGTAGCAGAATGCAAATGATAAGGAAAAGCAGTTTATAAAGAGGCTGGAGTAAAGTTTTCTGTCTCTGTTACAGGGAAACTTTTAACGATTAGCATATGATCCAGCCAAATCAACCAAGTCATACCAAGTCATACTAATGCCAAGTATGGCATTATAAACACTGTTTTCGTGGAGTTTGTGTTGTTTTCATAGGAGTAAAGACTTACTTGCTTAAGTTTAACAAGTATTTTGTTTTCTGAATTATTGCTGATAGTCGTAATTTAGTTAAACTGAATGTGATTTCATATTTTGTGGAGAAACTTGAAAATGTTCAAGATTACATAAGATAACTTAACTTTTTTTACCGCCTGCTCTATTCATGATTACAGGCCGGATTTACCTCTCCCAAATTCCAATTCTTGTGAAGCTTCTGACAGAAACACTAAGGAGGGAGGAGAAGGACTCGATGACCCGGGAAAATGTTCTGGTTGCCCTTCAGAAGCTCAGTCTTAGGTAAAAATGAGCAGTTTTTTCTCATGGTTACAGCATAATGAAGGTTGTTTCACAATAAACATGTGACTACAACCCTCTATTATAGATTTAAATTTCCATCATACCGCTCAGTCTAGATTCATGATCTGCATCACCTGAAATGATGCACAAGACAATGAGCATCACAATCCTCATGCAGGCTTTTTAAATGCTTTCTATGCTGCAGATATAAGCAAAATTGTGCACCATGCTCAATATGTTATTCATCTCAGATTCTGCTGAGATGCATTCAGTCAATGCGTTTTTCAGATTAGCCTCAAACTGGAGGATCGTTCAGTGTCTCCACTCATATAGTTACATTGCCTCAATTTTATTAAATAAAGGAGAGAAATTGAACAACTATAAAGCCAGTCGGTGACAGATGGATGACAACATGAATGCTTTCAGAGTATAAATTAACCTGCTAAGCTGGCTGACGTAAACACTCAGGTTTTACATCTCTACTGCATAAAGTTAAAATCATGAATGACTCATGAAGAGACGGAAACGGATTTCGGTTTAAAGCGGTCAGGACTGTGGTATCAGCTATGTTATTGTTACTCTGAGGTAAATTTGAATCAAATCATGAATGCAGATAAGACTCATAACACTCTTACCCTAAATAATGAAGATGGTATTTAAAGCAGAATCCAGAAACTCTTTTTTTTTTTTTTTTTTTTATATGAATGTCCTGTTTATTAGAATTTAGGCTTTGCTGATGAGAATGTATAATTGTGGTGCCCTTGTTAGGAGAAGCCAGCAGACAGCCATGATCGAAGATGATCTTATTGGCTGGCTTGTGGATGAGCTGCAGGACTCGGACTGCCTCAGTGACTACACCCTGGAGTATTCTGCAGCTCTGCTTATGAACTTGTGTCTGCGAACCAAAGGTAAGAGAATGAAAAACATAATGTGGGTGAAGATAGTTATTGCATTTCAGATGTTACAAAACTAAACGTAGGTTCATTAAGAGAACGCTAGAGCGTCTAAACGTTACGTTGCTTCATCACTTCTGCATTATGTCGTTTTAGCCAGCTGTTTGTAGTTGTACTGTAGGAATCAACCATTGGTTTTAGTCTTGCTGGTACAGTTTAGATGTTAATCTTAAATTAACCTCTGGAGTTTTAAACAGTAAATTAAATACACAAACAGTAAAAGTGACCTGATGTTAAAGGCGTGTGACCAGTATACGGAGGCCTTTGTCCTGACGTGGCTGTCACAGGTTCGAATCATGTTCCACTGACTTTTGCCGCATGTTTTCCTCCCTCTCCCACGACCTGCCTTCCTGTTTGACCACTGTCAAATGGAGGTCGCTCTAGCCGGAAAAAATAAAAAAAATAATACACAGAGTTGATCACCTTTAAAGTATCGGAGGAATATACTTACCAAAAGGTTTAGTATCCCTGCATCCTACATTTAGAAATACCAAAGTAATTAATCTTGATGGAACTGGATGGAATGGAGTCATTGTTTGACACAGACAAAAAACTGCTGTGATGTAGCGTTCAACAGAATCTGAGCATCTTGTTTTGAATAACTGTCCACTTGTAGGAAAAAGGAAGTGCGCGGAGAACGCCAAGCATGTGCTCAAAGTTCTGACTGACCTCCTCGGACATGAGAACCATGAGGTAATTTACACATCTGTCACCACATGAACACAGACCGTGCAATAAAAAACTCACGGACCATTTTTATATATAACACATACAAGTTATTTTCTGCTGCAATATAGCTTCCATATAAATGAACGAAGTAATCCGTGCCACTGTAGATTTGCTATCAGGCCTAAATAAAGTCTAATGAAGTTATGATGTTAATGTTTCCTGTTTCCCTCTCATTGCATATTTTACTCCACACAAAAAGCTTAATCCATATTTAAATTAGATCCCAAATCAAATTTTCTGGATATCTCTTAAGACAGAGTTTGTGTTTGTGTTTGTTGGTGTCGGTGCGGCCTTCCTCAGATTCGGCCATACGTGAATGGAGCTCTGTACAGTATCCTGTGTATTCCCTCCGTGCGACAGGAAGCCAAAGAGATGGTGAGATAGCAGAAATACCATCGTCTGTTTGGAGAAAAGACTTTGCACGGCCATTTTCCTTCCTAATGTCAGCACATAGACCTTGTGTTTTTGAAAGTATGGAGATGAAAATAGATTTACAATGTAAATTATGGTGCCTAATAACAATCCCTGATTCATTTTTGAAAAAGTACACTTATTATACAGCTCAGAAATGCTGCAAATGTAACAACATCACCACTTAGTTCATACTCACTCTCTTTGAGTGCTTGCATAACTTTTAGCGTTACCCGTGTGTTCACCTTTGAATCTGTCTCTATGCTTTATGTTTAGAGTGTAGAGGAGATTCTTCGTTGTTACAACAGAGAGGAAAACCCGGACCTCAACAGACAAATTGAGTTCATCATTAAGCAGCTCAACTCAGGTTAGTTAACTCAAATACATTTTTACTTTAGATCCGATGGGCAGTTCTACACAAAGTCAACCATTTATGATCAGTGTGGATGGGGCTTTTCCTTCTACGAAAACAATCTCTCAATATTGAGACATAGTTTGCAAAATGTTATTGGTTTTTTTTTTTCTTGTTTGTTTGTTACTCTTCAGTATTTTAGCTGTCGAGGATTTCTTTAAGTCCTTGTGCTATTTTTAACCCAGGTGATGAAGAAGGGCCAGAGTCAGATGATGAGGAAGAAGAGGATGACAATGATGTAAGGCATTTAGATGTATTAATATTTTTACACTTATGTAGCAAAATGAAATTCTTATTGAGAGTGAAAAAGTTTGTTTTCCCACCAAGACCTGGTTAAGAAGGCAGAAAAAAAAAAAAAAAAAAAAATCACTACATTATATGCCTCTCTTCTGATTGTACAAATATCTGAAACCTTATGAAAGACAGAGCAAACACAAATACAAGCCTTGTCTCATAAATACATATTTATATATCAGTAACATTTGGTTCTATGTTAAGGCGGCGGGTGATGTGTGACAGAATGAATGTTTTGGTAAAGTTGTTCTTCAAGATGGCAGTAAACAGATCTTGTTGCTGTGGATACATTTTTACAGGAGGATTTAATGGAAATAGAACTTGATAAAGAGGAAATTCTTCAACCCCAGCAAAGGGAGCTGTCTGGGGAGACCCTGCTCACCACTGAGTATCTTGGGGTAGGAAAATAATGCTCCATAATTTTAAGTTAATTATGCTATTTTCTTTCTCTTTTTTTAACTAGTCTGCCTTTACCTAATGAACAGCGTTTACTTTTGGACTGTTGTACTGCTGGTGCTCAAGGTGCATCGCCTGCTACTGGGACTTTTGACAGTTTGAGTTTTCTTTATAATTATAACCTTTATTTAAATTATGCTGTGTTTTGACATTTTCTTATCAATGTTTTGTTGTTGTTGTTGTTGTTTTAGCCGATATATTCCCTTTGCCAACATCCGTTTTTAAATGTGTGTTCTTTTAACTTAAAGTTAAAATATTTTTGGATGCAGTGAGACACAGATTTTTACGTCAGTGTCTCAAAGTACATGTGCAATGATACTAAAGTTGGGTTTCCACTTCAAAAAGTGGCAAACTGTGGCAGCTATAACTTTTTGGGGGGCAGATTGCATCAACTTCAGTTATTAAACACTGTAATTCATGTTTCTTGGAAATGTGGAATGAATCTTGTTTCAGACTGTAGCAGTTGCAAATACATCAGAAGACTGGAGAACATCCACGTCTAACCCTGATCTGAACTCCAGTTGATCAAGTATACAAATTTAAGTAAATGTCTTCATGTGGTAACTTTACATAGTAACGCTCCTGCAAGCATTACCGTGAGCCAGGCATCACCGTGTGTCAGCAGCAGACATTATTACATGAATGTGTACAAAGAGTCACAGAGGCACTTAGGGTTCTGAATAACTAAAGGTTCAGTGCAGAACAATGTCTTCATCCTCTAATTAATAAAGATATAAAACTGTGGTAAAATGTTTAGCATGTGGCTCTTATGTCGTAGATCATGACAAACATGATGAAAGTAAAGAGGAAGTCAACACCTTTGGCGTGCCCAAACATTGATGAGCCCTTACAACGGCCAGTCACCCCGAGTTCTCATCGAAATGCAGGGTAAGTTCAGTTCATTTATCATAAAACATATTTTTATGGTGTCAGGTCTTTTTTGATTCAAAGTCTTTATTAAAGTTGCCTGACTTCTGGGGTCTTTCTCTTCTGAGGGTCGATTAGTTCACACCAACACAGTCATTTTGTCATGAAATCATTGAGCCATTTTTGCAGTTTGTCTTGCATCTTTTGTTATGCTAAACTGGTAATAAAGCTTCTATTGGCTCAGAAACTGATATAGTGGGTCAAATTAAATATGTTTTCTAAAGCCTGAATTGCATTGTCATACACTGAATACATTTAGAGGTCATTTTGCAATTTAAAAATAAAAGAAATAACCAAAGTTGAGGTTAAATAAGTTTTACACTTTGTCAGTATACATGTTGAGATATTTTTACACTATCTAGAATAGGTAATGTTGTATACGATTGTATTATTTTTAGTGAAAATCATCCCAGCAGTCAGTGTGGTGAGGGCAGAAACAGGGAATACCCCCTAAACAGACAGAGAAGTGAGGAAGGGAGTCTGATCCCCTCCTCATACAACTCTCGACCTCCGACACGTTCTGGCAGCCGACCCAGCACTGCCGACTCCCTTCATCACAGCATGGGTTTGTAATATTTTTTTTTTCTTTTTCCATATTTGATTCACTAATTATTCCATAGCTATAAAAGTATTCCAACTCCAGGGAATAGTAAAATAATCCATCCTTGCCTGTACATTTTGTGGCATGTGTTCATCACATATTTTTAGTCACTGAGTCTTTCTGTATTTTGAGGAAAGATCTAATTTCCCTTCTATCGTATCAGATTTATTTGAAGTGATGCCCGATGTCTTTGGGGAAAATGAGGCACTTCCAGACAAGGAAGTTGCAGCAAATTCCTTGAAATTTTTTCTTCAGGGATACGTTTATCGGCAACCCAAGCACCAAAGGCTTTATGAACTTCTTTTTCTTTCAGGAAGATAGAATAACTGCCAAGCATCAGATTTTTCTCTGTTTGGGAAAATTCAGTCCCAGACTGTCTTTTCTTTTTGTTTGTTTGTTTGTTTATACCAGTGGTCTCAAACTCCAGTCCTCGAGGGCTGATCGCCTGCAAGTTTTAGATGTCTCTCTGCTACAGCACACCTGGCTCCAATCTGACTCATTAGCAGAGCTCTTTTCGCTAGTGAGCCAGTTTTAAAGTGTCACTTGGCAAGGGACACATCTGAAAGTTGCAGCCTTCGAGGAATGCAGTTTGAGACCACTGGTTTATACCAAAACTTTGTCTCAAAATAAAAAAGACAGATGTTTGTTCAAATTCCAATAATGGCTTTATTGATCTCTTACTTTGTCTTGTGTCACAACATTCAGACTCAGAATGCGGACGGTTCTACCAGGACTCAGAGTTAGACCGGACATATGAAGATCAAACCAGAAAAGGACAGTCCCAGGAGGGACACAATGGGCACTCCGTCAGGTAAATGATACCCAAAATTTACTCGCCTGCAGACAGGCGAGTAAACCCCCCCGAAGGAAGGTACGTGAAGGTGAAGGAGCACGCGTTACATTTCGCAGGTGGATGATACGTACACAATATACACTCGCTCTACCCCCCGACCCCCCATACGTGAAAGGTATCTTGCACGTAGCCAGTTTTAAAGGTAAAACTCGCTATATTTACCCCATTATGGGCGCGAGGTCAAGAAGCGTAAGGGCGCTCAAGTGGATGCAAACACATCATCGGCGCGCCGCCCCCTCCAGACGGGGTTTTGACGCCCCCTCTGGTGTAGCGCCCCTATGCGTTGCATACGCTGCATACCCACTTTTTGAGCCACTTGCCTGCAGACTTAGGCCTCTTCCTTTGGTCCATTATGACTAATACTGCATCACTTCTGTTTTGTATCATTGCTAGCCTACAGTAAGTCTGTCAGTGAGCTCACTAGAAGTTACAAACAACTACAGCACTCTGCACATTCATTGACATTCCTGATAAAAATGTGTAAAAAACAAAAAAGTCTGTATGAGAATAATGCGGATGATTTTTGGGGAAGCCGAGGTGGTGTTGCTCAGACGAATGCAGTACTAGTAACCAAAATACCAACCACTGCGTGCACACTAAGCCAGGCTTCCACAGTTTTTTCTAGCCAATTCAAAAAAAATTTAATATCAAGAGTATTAAAATGTTGAGATGACAAATATATCACACACATGTACCACTGCTACTGAATTTACTCAGTTCATTACCCAAACAAAATATTACTTATTCTGAGGCTAATCTATCCAACGACGAAGACGAAGATTCACTCACTTTGCCAAACACGGAGTGGCTCCAACTGCCTCCTACCAAACCGACTTTCTGATTAATTCAACTAATAATTATTTGATCTCTTTGGATTTTAACTGTCATTCCTAGAGGGTGAGGTGATTTTTTTTTTTAATTAAAAAACAGACAAAAAATGAGACTGTGATGTCCTAACAAAAGTATCATATCTTGTCCTGATGCAGTAGCACCCTGTGAATTGTGAGCCCTTCATCTGAATAAACACACTGCTCAAAATGAGTTCATGTTGGTAGAGACACGCATATTACGGTCATGACGAGATGCGACGCTTCACAAACAGCGATTCCCTTCCACACATTTACACTCGCATAATGGCAAACAATAGAATAAAACCTCTAACATCAGAATCTTTCACACTAGATATATTTTCATTGCTTTTCACAGTGAGATTACGTTTCTGAAATAAAAGATAACTGTGCCTTTAAGGCTTCTTCCAGATCTTTACCAGACGTGCAAATAAAACTGAAGGTTTCTGAGTCGAAGGGTTTCATCCCTGCGCTTTCCATTTGGAACTGATGTAAAGCAAACCTAGCAGAGCAGACATCTACAGGGCTCCCTGTATGCCGTGACATGTGTTTCTAAAGGTGTGCGTCTGCAGACAGGCTTGGCAACAGTGCCAGACACCGATGGGTGAGTCAGCACTGCCAAGCCGGTGTGTGAGACTGCGACATGCGTTTAAACAAGCTGCAGCCACAAAGGGACCCATTCAGTCCAGCTTCCCATGCTTCTTCCCTCCTCTAAATCCCAGAGGAACTTGACTCCCAAATACCGCCAAGAGTAATGAGTCCCAGGAAGCCCCTGCTCCCCCATCCCCCAGGAACGTAAAACACCTCCACAATACAGCCTGGCTAAGGTTAAACAGAACAACCTAATTTCATTAGTCTGGATGACAAGTCTTTTATGCTGAGATGAAACAGGCATTCATTTTGGGGAGAATGGAGCCTTAGCAACACAGCAATTTGGCAAGTGCCAGATAAGCAGGTACCTTTTTTTTTTTTTATGTTGTTTTCGCACCAGTAAACACATTTGGCTCTTTCATGTTAAAGTAGTCCTTTAGATGCATTGACAGGCATTAGGTGACACTTTGGGAAAACACTGTTTCCATTTCTTCCTCCAGCGGTCGACTTTATTGGCCACACTTAAGGTCAGAAGGCTAGAAAATCAATGCTACATCTGCCCCTATTCCGCGTCGCTGCTGTGCAGATGGCAAGTATCGCACCTCCACCTATGTTCAGAGATACGATCATGTCACACAATAGGCAGCGCTGGCAGATCATATCAGGGTGGTTGGCGACAGTGTGATTATCGAGAGCAGAAACGAGCATGAAATCCATCTATTCGACATGGTATAGGATTTCTGCACAGGATGTTAGCCATTTGTCTGCAGCCCGATAAAGTGGGAGAACGCTGTGTAACTGGATGCAGAGGAGTTGTTTATTCATTCTGATAACATTTCATTTCATTCCCACTCAATGTTCATTCAAAGGGTATCAGGAAGGATTCCTTATACCTGTTCGATTTCTCACAGGATTTTCACCTGCCTAAAGATGATTTGTGGCGTATCTTTGAGGTAAAACCAGATTTGACACTAGAAGTGGATGAGTGGTGCTTCAGCATCAGGAGATGTGACAGGTTCTTTTTTATTATTTTTTTATTTATTTTTTTTGCTCATATATGTTGCTACACAACTTGGCAGCAAAATAAATATCCATGCAAACTAAAAAAACACCCATTACAGTGCATTGAATTTTTTTTTAATCCTATTGCAGAGTATTTTCTTTATATAGTAAGAATAAGTGTTTTCAACGTCCATCTCAAAACACAATTAAAAATGGAGTTTATGACATGCCAAACGTATCTACAATGAAGATATACTGTATGTTTGTTTTTATTTATACCTTTGTTTGTTTTATTGTGACATAAATACCTGGGGGGAAAAAACTTATAGACTGAGTCTACTGAAATCCAGTTCAAGCAATAATCTGTGATGTTACTTGGATGAAAGCAGCAGATGCAGCTAGGATTTACCAGAACTAAATCCTGTTTTTCATTGAAAAAATATTCTACAGCATCCTGTATTCTGAGTATCATTACACTAAATATAGATTCCCAAGTCTCACCAGGCATCAGTGGAGTATCACCAGAAACTGAGGCTATTGACTGAAAGTGATACTTTTAAATATTAAGGTCAAGAACTTGCCCAAAGTTGATATGTGATACGGTCCTGATTTCTTTTCTTTGTGTCCCCCCATATGAGCTTAAATTTGACTCTGGCTTTATCTTGTGATGCATGAAATCCTCATCAAGGATGAAAGTTTGTCTCTAAACCAAACGAAAGTAGTCATTCTGGATATTTTTTTGAGGTTTTATGCCCGAAAACAAAGTATTTCAAGTTTTGTTCTTGAGTTATTTAGTAAATAATTTTTGTGCTAAAGCTAAAGCTTTTTGTGCTTTAGCTTTAGCTTTGCACAAAAAGCTAAAGGTTTTTATTTTTTTATTTACCAGCACAACCCTGTGTTTTAGCACAGGGTTGGTCTTGATCAATGGTCTTTAAAAGCCTGACCTACCTCATCTTATCAGCAATGTTCTATTTGTGCTAAACCCATTGCTACTTGATTCTGTAGACCTATTAGTAATAATGGGTTTGCTTGGCCAGTGAAACAGTAAAATTCATAGATTTATGACTTACCAAAAAGAAAAAAAAATACTTTTTTCATATCATATCTGGTTTAAACAGCTTTTCTCATTTACTCACGTTGTTTTTGCCTACTCTTAGTTCTTTCTTTCTTAGATTGTCTGAAACGTTTAAGTGTGTCAAAAAAGCAAAACATTTGAAAAGAGGATGGAGTTTTTAAGAGTTTTGAGAGAACCATAATCACACATCTGCTCAGTCAGATCATTTACAGGACAGTTGTGTTGATGAAGGATCTGTCTGTCTTGCATTATATCTCACTTTCTGTATACAAAACGAAGAATGCATTGGTGACCAAAGCAACTCGAATTGCATTGCACTTGTCATGTGACCTACATGTCAGCATTATCCGGCTCATAACTTAGTCCCTCTTTTAAATTATTTTGAAAATAATAGGTTCAAAAACTTTACTGGTAAGTTATTATGTGCTCGCCCTGAGTACATTTAAAATGGCCAAAGTGGTTCATGTCCAAAGTCGTTTATTTGTCAGAAATCCTTTACTTGTGGATCTGGTTCCATAACCACTGACCGTCTTGGTTGGGGTTTTTTTGTTTCTGGACAATTTTTTAATGACCACAAAACTCTGAAAGTCTTTTTGTTCTCTGACCATCAGTGACAGCTACATCCTTGGGTTTGTGAGCTCCTCCAAGATCCCCCGGACACCTGATCCCCCCATTAGCCAGAACAGTGATCACCGGAGTCGTGAACTTGCTCTGGCACCCCGGTTCTCCCAGTCGGAGCCACAGCAGGGCAGTCGGCCTGCCAGCTCCACGGGAGGAGGAGGGAGCGGAGGTAAGCGATAGATATGGGGGACAATCAACACCAGACAGCCAGTGTTAATCAGCCATGTGTTTTCATGCCTACCCCAGTTAATGACTTGTTCTAATCTGCCAGCAAGTTTGGGAGAAACCAAGCCATGATTGAAGGTTCAGTGCCTTTAAAAAAAAAAAAATCAAGCCAATAATAGCTTATATTTTACGCCAATTTAACAGACATAGGCAAGTTTCCTATTCTCAAATATGAGTTTCTTGCCCATTTTGTAGCAAGTATTTCGAACTTTGTCTTTGGACTTTGTCTTTTGGAACTTTGTTCTCAAACTCTTTGCATACAACTCTAGAAATGATTGTTGTGGCAAACTAAGCTCAGCCAATATTAACAAGCAATTCATTTCTTTGACAAATCTAGTCCTTATAAAAAAAACAAAAAACAAAAATACAATGGTCAAGATTGTTCAAATATACAGATCAGAGTTCTCTGCTTAATACACAGTAGTTTTGAAAATGTTTTGACATTACAAAGTTTTACTTAAAACTCTTTCCCAAAAGATTTTTGCCTACAGACATGATGCATAGTGGACCTGCAAAATGCCCGTTCAGCTCTGACATTCGGTGAGAATTAAACAGTAAATAGCCATCTCTCCCTGGTAACTGCGCTGTAAAAGCGTGGCTTCAGATATGGTCTTTAGTTCTTTTACACCTCAGTGTTTGAACTTCCTGGCACAGTCTCATTCTGACAGTCTTCCCTCTCTTAGCCCCCTCCTTCCTGCCTCACACCGCACACTTTCGTGTCTTTCACTGCTCTTCACAAACGACTTTTACTGTAACCACCTGTTCCGGCTCTCATCTGAGTACTATTCATCCAGCACAACAAAAAGTAGTAATTACTGTAAAGTTGTCGAGTCATGCCCCAGTTTCCCTGTTTTCTTGGTTTTCTTTGTCATGTGTGTCTTCAGTTACACAGTTTTTACTCTGTAACAAAATCCTGGATTTCATTGTTTGACAGCTTATGTGCAGTCTTTTGTTATACATGTTTCAGTGTTTGTGTCAAGTCTAAACAGTCAGGTTACAGAAAATAGCCGTTTAGCAGGACAAGTTCTCTCATAATAATCAGACTTGAGCAAATCATAACTAGTGTAAAGTTTTATTATGAATGATAATAACTTTAGCATTATTATTATTATTATTATTATTATTATTATTATTATTATTATTATATTAATAAAAATGCTAAAAGACTAGACTTCTAAGAATAGTCTTTTTATGTACAACATGGTCCTAATGATCATCTATCGGGGATTTCTTTCTTTAGTTTAATTTAGACCAAAATATTATGTCTGTTATTAATTTTAATCTATTTATCAGTTGTTGTTTTTTTAATTGATGGTTTATATAGGGCTGTCATAAAAATAAATAATTTTTTTTGTTGCTCCAGACAATTTTTTTTTTCTCAAGTTTTATCAGAACAATACAGTGACTATCATTGTTATTTTTTTTTTCTTAAATAAGCAAATAGGAAAGTCAAACTGGGTTAAGTTTATATTAAACGAGCAAAGTCAATACTCTGCCCAGCCCAATCAGCTTTATTAGCTTTTCATGTCATATCTCACATAAAGAACTTGAGTCACAGCAGAGAGGATCTGGTGCTCTTAAGCCGTGGCGATAGCATCTTTCCCTGCTTCCATGCATCTTAACTGCATTTCATAAACGATTACCTCGGGCTCTTCCGCCGGCTGACTCTTACCATGAAGCTTGTAATGGCACCTAATGGTCACTCAAAGCCACCGCATCCTCCTGTGAGTGTGTTGCACTTTTGAGGTCTGGCAAGTGTCTGACATCTTATTGCCTCAAGAGGAAATCGCTTACTGTAATCATTGCAGACACACAGGGCAAAAAAAAATTTAAAATAAAGTTTTGTCCAGTTTTGCTGCGAAACCTCTGGAGCTCTCATGTTCAGCAAACCTGTTTATATTAATTAACTTAAATGCCGCCTCTTTGTTTTGTTCAACTCTGGCCTCACTGCAGGGATGGAACACCAAACCACACACGGTGGTTCTGCTAACCCACCTTTTGTATGCACATTAGCTATGACTGACTGATTCGCTCGCTTGCCAAAGGAGAAATAGAGGAAGTGTTTGAGTTACTGAGCAGGCCTGACACTCAGGCAGTGCAAACAAGGAAGGTGAGCCTCTGTCCTCTCCTCATACCGAGATCATTATCCAAGTTAAGACAGGTTGGCAACGCTGGCTGAAAATGGTGACAGGTTCCCCTCCCATTGCCATGCAAACAGATAAGGCAGAGGAAGTACATGTGTATTTGTAAGAACTGTTCATTCCTGTTTTCAGAGAAAACTACCATAAAGACATCAGATCTTGTTTCCTCTCTTGCTCAGACGCGTTCTCTTTATTCCCATAATGAGGCATATAAAATTCATATTGGCGTGACATTAAAGAAGTGCTCTTTGGTGTGTGTTTTTGCTAGCTACTCTTGAAAAGTAAAAAAATAGATATATATTGGATTTTATGTTTATCAACTTGGTGAATGATTAAATAAATTCCCTGTACTTGTATGGTGCTTGATCTTGTCCAGAGTAAACCAAAGCACTTCACACTATCCACACACACATTCACACTCTGATCAGGTCTGGTCTGTCACACCAGCCAAGGCCTATGTCAAGCTGAATATTGCTCTTAAAGTTCAGGTCTTCTGCCAGTGTCTCTCTGCCTCTTTAGTAAAAACTTTTAAATGATGTTGTTGCATTTTCATAATCTGAAACTGAAAAAAAAACATGTGCTGCAGTTCTTCAGTGGTGAATTTTTAGACATATTTATTTTTTTAACTCTGTTAAATGCTCCTTACTGTACATATTGGCAAGATAAACTTTGACCCCTTCCTTGTTTACCACAGTTCCAACTGTTTTAAGTGTTTTAGTTATTGCATTTTCACATTTTTAGCTGTGTTCTTCAATGACTTGAGTAACTTAATTAATAATCTAGAATTTCCTGATGAAGAAATACCATTTACATTTATACTTCAGTATAGTTTTTTTTTTTTTTTTTCCTCCAATGTAAACCTTTGAAAATGTTATATTTAAACACACATGTGAGATTCTCCAAAAAACCAGATTGGATAGATATTGCACCAACCATCCATGCATCCTCTCCTCCTCTTGCTCCTTCTCCAGCCAGGCACTCAAAGAGGAGGTGAGGAGGGAGCTGTCACCATGGGGGGAAGCGTTATCTGTCCAGGAACGTCAGGCTTCCTGTAACATCATCCCCCCCAGGTTGCGATCGGGGTCAGGCCAACAGAGACGGGTAGGGATCGACGGCAGCATTGAGAGGAGCCAGAGGAGTGTGTCAAACAATGTGTAAGATTGTGGCTCTAAATCCCCCCCACACACACACACACACACTCCCCCCCTTCAGCACACACGGCTCTGGCAACGTGATATGATGGCAGACAATAATCACAACAACCAGCGAAGCAACTCAGTGAATCAAGAAGTTTCTGAATTTCTTTGTGTGTTTGTTATCTTGCCGTGGAATAAGTCAAGCAGTGCACATGTTTTGCATTTCAGTTCAGACCAGTAGCATTAATATTCGGAACCACTGAAAATAAGTGATTGTAGGTCCATTTTACAGTCTGGGTTATCATTTCCACTTGTTCTTTTTTTTTCTTTTTGGAGATGAAGAGTCATATCATTCAAACTTAAATAAGAAAAAATAAATAAATACTGTTATTAATAAATACTGAATAAATACTCCATATTGCTTTTTTTTAGGGGGAGGGGTATGGTTACTTTGTCAATCAGTGTTTATTAATTTCATGATTTATTTACAATTGTATTTCATTGTTTATTTCATAATTGTGATTCATTTTGCGACACCTGTAGTTTGTAAAGCTACCTTGCGTATTTTGTGGATTTTTCTTTGTTTGTTTCGAGTGCAGTGAGCTGAGAGGCTGCAAATAAGCCTGCGAAATGCATAAAGCGGCTTATTTTGACATGGTACGTCATGGTATGTGTTGACATACCATGGCGTACCATGTCAACACTTTTTTTTGACATCGTATGTCAAAATAAGTGTTTCAAAATAAAAGCCCTTTTAGAAGTCTGTAAAACTGTGATTGACAAAATAACCTCCTCATTTATTTATTTATTTATTTAAATGTATTTTAAATGTTTTGTTTCATCGGGATGTTTATTTGTTTGATGGAGTATTTTTTTATTGTTTCTCAATAACAGTATTCATTTATTTAATATTGAATGAAGGACTCCTTTTTTCTGAGCTTAATGCATGAATCAGACTTGATCTGTGTCAGGATTTAGAGTAAGACAAAATGCAGTATGTCAGCAATACTCTGATTTTTTTTTATAAGGTTTAAATTATTTGAAATATCTAGCATATATATATATATATATATATATATATATATATATATATATATAATGCTTAAAATTATAAGGAAAAAAACCTCACCTTGTACAAAAGCAGTGACTTCCTCTCATCTGACTCTCTGAGAGATGCACTTATTGTAGTTTGGCTTTTCTCTGATTGCCTGAGTGTTTTAATTGTGTTTAGAACTTTCAATATGATGTTTTTTGGAAAAATTACTTGAATATTTGTGATTTTCTTAAATTCAGCATACTTTACATTGTTCTCCTGCACTATTTCATGTATGGTAATGTGTATATTTATGTTCAGTGCTATGTTTCTGATGTAATATGGTTTTAAATAAATTTGGTACCTGACCTGCTTCTTTGTCTTTGCAGTCTGACTTGCTGGCTACAGTTGCTGTTAAGTTCAGGAAGTTTAGTTATTTAAGCTTTTTTGGTCTCTAAGTCAAAGTTATTTATACTTTATCTTTTGTTGATAAATAATCAAATGGTACCAAAAAGAAAAGACAAATGATATTGATGATTAAAATAAACATTTTGAAAGTCTCAGAGATTCCAGAATCTCCTGCATATAAAAACTGCGTTTTAATATTACCCATAAGTTGCATAGTTCTTGTGTTTTTCATTATAAAATGACAACTTTTCATAGACTTGTGTAACTTTGCCCACCTCTGAAGACATGACAAAGTAAAATATGTGGTTTTAGTGAGCAATATGTGTTTTTGATTTTATTGTTGCGGTCACATGACCTTTATTGTTTTCACTCTACTTAATTGTGAAAGCAGCTTTGTGTAGTGTACAATGTCCGAGATATATTTTTTTCCCCCTTGGGGACAATAAAGTATCTAACTTTCTATTTATCTATAGAATAATAATAATTATTCATTATTTTTAGTTCTTCAAGATGCATTAGTCATTGCTGCCAGATACCTCATCTGCTTCCAGCTGCAAATGTGTATTTACAATGTGCATTGTAAATACACATTTACAATGAGAAATGTGTATTCTCATTGGACGAAAACTAACAGAAGTCTCCTCATATCCTAGAGGCTGAGAGACATTTGACCTGATTCCCATCCTACTCATTGTATATCATGGTGCGACAAACATGTCGTGCATACAGCCTTGTTTGTGAAAGTTACCATTGTCTGTTTAATCACTGCTGTACTCATATTTCAGATAGACCAACCAAGTATGCTGAACGTTTTCTTTTTGTTCCTAGATCCAGGTTAAAACATAGAAGACTGCGAACTTTTGTAGAAGCTGCTCTAAAATTCTGGAATTGAATACCATTGCAGATTTGGATAATTAAAAACTCCGTTTAAAACCCATTTAATTTCACTGACTTTCAAACCTGTTGATGTTGTTCTGTCTGAAACGGCATTCTTTTGTGCTTATAGCTGAATATCACTTTTGTCAGCTCTTGTGTTTATATATAAATTGACTTGCTTGCTCTGACCATACTTATTTGCCTGGTCAGACAAGCAAATATGTAGGTTCTGTTTTTTTATAACAGGCATCTGCCTTATTTAAATCGTATGCACTCATGTCTTGCCCATTTTAAAGACTCATTCAGGGACTGTAACCCCCAACCCCCTCAAGTTGTACTATCATGACCCCATCTGACTTCACTAACTCTTACTCTGAATATTCTACATCAATTCTTAGTATAACTCAATTAATAAACTTCACATTTTTGATGGGTCTGATCATTTTCTGGTGGCTGTTCATCATTAACCAGCTTTCGTCTTTTAACAGCTTGCATGATATGAAGTTCCCAAATGCAAAATTTAATGCAGCACGTGAATATTTCATAGTTCATTTTGTTTTCTCAGATAAAACTCACCTGCTTCGACTCTCATCGCCCCATGCCTCATTAAATGGTGCAGCTGCTTGTTGTTTGATGCTAAGAAAGCGACCACATCCTGTGGTCTTCGCTTTCCCCACCTCACAACTGAATAAAAATCTGAAATACTTCAAATAATACTTTACTCTTTTTGCTCCCTTTGTCGTTATTCATTATGTTTCCATCGGCACACTCATCCATTTCATTGACCACAGGGTTTTGAAAAAAAACTGTACCACTGCTGATGTAATGGCAGTAGTTTCAGTTTAAAATCCTTAATGATTGAGCATTATGTGCTGTCTCGAAAAAAGACATGCACTTCGAACATTTTCATTTAGTCCACATACCACAGTTTAAGAATCAAGAACCTAATGTTTGCTTTTCCAGTTTGAAAAGCAAGTATGTTTCTCATTTACGTCTCTTTCGCTAAAACCTAAACCAACATATTAGTTCTGTCAAATATGGAGGATAAAAAACACCCAGGCTGTCGTGCTTTGGTAGGTCACGTCTGCTGTCCCCCTGAGAGGTGACATGTTCAACAGCTAACATAATAGATGCAGGCTGTGAGGGCCAGCACAATGTGAGGAAACGGGCTACACATGACAGACTGACGCACTTGCTGCCAGGTGGCCGTGGTTTTTAACCCTGAGCTCGAGCCATGCTGAAACCCTCGAGCTCAGAGTGGGACAGAGGGAACAATTATTTTCTCTCTAAATAAAAGCGCAGATGCAGATTAAGAAGGAGTTTACAGATAGAAACATTTCAAGTTAGTTCAAGTTAAAAAGTAGATCAATAAAAAAATCTAAATAGGTGTTAAGGTAGGTTTTTGTTTTTTTTGTTTTTTCGCCAATCAGAACTGCAGAAACTACTCTTGCAAAGCAGGAACATCCTTCACCAAGGAGTCCTGTATGTCACCAGCACCATCCGCAGTCATTGCAGTCATGTTTATCAGTGGACAGGGCTATGTACTGCTGATAAAATGTGACGCCAACAAAGAAGAGGCACTTTTCAGGGTCTGTGTCTTCCAAACTTCCTGTTTCCTTTTGTCCAAACAGATGAATCAGAGTCAGCCGTCACAGCTGCACTTTGTTGTACAGGCACATCTTTTTTCTTTTCTTTTTTTTCTTTTTCTTAGGACATGCTGCGTCCCACTTAGTGTGCAGACTTACAACTTCTTGGGTGCACTGTAGCACTGAAGGTCAAAGGGGCCACTCATCAAACAGCCTCCAGTTTACAGCTGCTTGGCATTCGCTTTTTACATCCCTGACCGCGGGAACGTCCTCACAAACTTTCAAATGAAAGCTTTCCCATTTTCACAGTGTGAAGCTATGTTAGCATGCTTTGGAAAGTCACTAATACACTTGAAAATAAGTTGAAAATAATTTTTATATTTTAAATTACGTATATTTGATGAATCACTGTAACAGAAACTGGATCATTTTAAAGAATGAACAAAAGCAGGTTTCCTTTGGTCATTTTAGCCTAAATAAGTTGGGACATTTTCATGTGTTCCCATAGTTGTGAAGACACCATCCGTCCATCCGTACCTCCACGCCTCCCTCTTTCATTCTCTCTTATTTTTTTTTTCTAAGATCAGGTCACTGAGTTAACTAAAGGGGAAACGCAGATATTTTTCCCCATCAGCATTCTCCTGCTAATTTTGGGGATCCTAAGGCATTTCCAAGCAAGTAGAAATATATAACCCCCCTCATCTTGGAACCTGACTGGAAAATCTCCACCAGAGATGCAATCACCACCAGAGACTGGAATAGCTCCAAATTCCTGCAATGGAGGCGCCAGTCAATCCGTCCACCTCTCACATCTTCCTATCATCAGTTATTAACAAGAAACCAAAGTACCAGGACTCCTCCGCTTGTTACAGAGATGGACCTACAGGTAACATTCCAGCTGTTTTCCCATTGAGAGCCATTTTGTCAAACTTCTTGGAGGTGGCACTAATCCTCTCCAACTCGCACTTGACCCTCTTCAGTATGGACTGGTGCTGGTTGTTTCACCCATTGTCTGCCGGAAGATATGTTGCACTGACATTGCCACAATTGTGATCTTTCATAACTGCTGGGAAAACCAATCATTTAAGAAAGTTTCAATGATCTGCAGTTAACCTCTGTCTACTCACAGTTCAGCATTTGTGGATTCACCTATTCTGGAATTATTCTGTGGAACATAACTCCTAATTATTCGCTGAAAAGCTGCATACTCCAGAATCTTTTCATGGAGCATATCTAAAGTATTCTAAAGGGAACACAGCTAAAATGCTACTTGACACACTTTTAGCTGGCGTTTGCAAAGCAGAAAATCCAGGATCGCCGTTTTTATTCCTTGGTTTTGATTTGCTGTACTCACATGAGAGGAAATAAGAAAATTGATTAGCTTCTGAGGTAGTGACAAGATGGTTTGCTTTGTAATTATTTATGCATATTAAGGCATATTTAGTGTTTGTGCTATTCAAATTGGGAGTTCTGAACAATTTTACGTGGGATCTCAATTATTCACAGATTGTAGCTTTTTGTGGGTGGACGAAATCCCTAATCCCTGCGAATATCGGGGTCTCACTGTACTCATAAGTTAGTCTGCAATAATTAGGTTATGTTTCACCAACAAGTATTATTTACCTGCAGAAGGTCACCTGGAGTTAATTTAGTTTGATGATCAAAGTCTGACATTTCACCATAATATCAACACTTAACTACAAAGATAAACTGATTCACCATGGATAAGTACATGGGTATGTTTTACCAAAAAAAAAAAATAGGAAAAGGACAAAATGGCAACACATGAGAACAAAAATTAAGCTGGGAATTTGCAGAAGAACAAATTTACCCAGAGGCCATGGCTTGAAGGTGCCAATAGAACCACAAGGGGAATTTTAACAGGTATCCGTTTGAGAGTGGTAACACCCAAGAGTTTCTTGGGTGTTACCACATTGGTTTTTCACCTGCATCCATCGCTGCTGGATTTACTCAGAAATACTACACTGGAAGTGCAATTAACGGCAAACATCCAAGTGTTGATGAAAACCACAGGTTCTGTTTGAAAGCGTCACAAAAGCAAGACAAAGAAGCTGATCTCAAGTTTCCACAGCTTCCACAACCAAACTGTTGATATGTTTCAGGTGCTGACTATACATTGACGACACCAAGTTTCCAAAATAGTATTGGTAAATGATTAATAGGTCAAAATCAGTATTCAAAACAAATTAAGCGACAAATGAACAAAAACATTTCTGAGGATCCTTTTTCCCCATAAAACAAATAAATGAAATAAAAATAAACTTGTCAATTTCTTACAAAATCATTGTCAAATGAACCTTCAACCTTCATTCAAGAACAAAAGCTTGAATAACAGGAAGTCCCAATTTACAATGAAAGTTATAAAGCTATATAAGTTTCATGCAACTTAGTGTGCTGAGAAAAAAATCCACCACTTAAGTTTCTGTTTCCTGCTCACAGTCATTCATTTGACACATGATCAAGGTTTATTAGCTGTGAAAACGGCTTTCCAATCATTAACTGCTTTGAAATTGAATCACGATCTCAGTTTTAAAATTCCTGTCTGAGGTGGACACCAGATTGGGTGGCTGAGATAAAAACTAGATGAAAAGTGCATGAAAATATATAATTCATAACTTATATTCTGATCACTTTGTCCAGTACAGGAATCATTTTAATCAGGACACAGTATGATGTAAAGCAAAATAGGTCTGACTTTAATCACTACCTTATTGGAAATGTTTAGAACTTTGGAAGTGAACATTCAGAAATCAGTGTGTTAGTAGTTGTTTGCTTTGTAAGAGGCTGGAAAACTCAGCGTAGTCAAAAAGAAAAAAACAACAACTAAAATTTCCACAATAATCTTGCAATAGCATGTTATAAACTCCTCCTTTACATTGTAATTACATTGAACACTTTCTGAAAATGAAATAAATTAAGTAAAAATTAATTTTCTGCTAGAGATTTTGCGTTAAGAAATTTAATCTTTATTGCGTTAAAAGCACAGTCTTTACAAATTTGAGCTGAATGTGGCAGACAAAATGAAATCCAAATGTGACCTTTGATAATCTGATATTCAGATAGTTTTCTTTGGACTAGAGTCTGTAAGGCCAAATGAAGAAGTCTTTCTCCTGATAAAGCACATGTGTTAACCTTAACGCCTCGTCCCTGAATACACCAGCGGGAGAAGGAGGCGGTCAAGAGAGCTGAGCTTCAGTCAGCTGGTGGACTCTGAGAGTGATTCTGACCCATCCATGGGAAGGGTCATGTTGCAACAAATCCCTCCGCGTTCTTATTGGCTGATGCCTTTGTTTGTCTTCAGTGACTAATTCTTTCTGATCTGCTAAGGAAGTACAAGGAACCTCAATATCCATCACCACTTCTCTCTTCTCCAGAACAGAGAAGAGAGAAGTGGTGAAAAAGAAAAAAAAAATCAAAACGGGAAAAAACATCACCAGCAGCTAACAGGATGCACATGGCCCTGAGAAGGATGGCTGGTTGGATTCAGGAAATGGAGAGAGATGGAAAGGAAGGAGGGATTTTGAATCACAGCTGTTGTTAGACTGAAAAAAAAATCTGTTTTGAAGCAGGGGGAGTTTTTATTGTTCCTCCCCAACACTACAAAAAGATGGAGAGACACTTAGTTATCGAAGTCAGCTGACTTATTTCTACTCAAATAATTCTTTTGAGTGAAGAAACTTTAAATTGGAAAACTGAAAACCACAAACAGATCATGAGCTGCCTTGAATGACTAAAACCAAAATGTGCCATTTATTGATATTGTTGTTTCTGAAACTTTATCATCCTAAATAAAACATTCTGATGTATAGACATAAGCTCTAAACGTGGAGGAGCCGGTGGCAGACACAATCACAATTAACTGTTCTAGTGCAAAAAAAAAAAAAAAAGACTGGCATTTTTTGGCATAGATTTCTTACAGATTTGGCTCCAACCATAAGATGATGAAGCTCTGAAGCACTATATGCAGCTGCTTAGGACCCCTGTTAACCTGGAGTCCCCAAGAGCCCTTGAAATTTCACAGGACAGCATTAAAATGTAGAGGGCTGGCTGTAAAGACACAATGTGTACATGACAGCAGTTTAATGGTTTAATGGCTGAGTGTTTGCTTTGCCGTTGGCTCAGCTCTGATTGCCACTTCAACCTTCAGGTTAGTCCAGTGAGACTACTCACAAAACATGCTAATGAAAGTTGTTTTTTTACTGCAGGTAAAATGTTAACTCCTCTCAACAAAACTGCATGTCGAAAATGTGAACTCTATGGAATCCACTGTTGGTTTACTAAGTAAAGGTCAAATACTGATAATATACAAGTTACCTTCATGGTGCTGTGGCTGACAGACGATGAGCCTGACTGGGAAATTTGGTGTAAAGAACCCCATACAACATTCAGCCAGTTCTGTCACCTATCTAAGAATCTAAGATTTAGTACAATGTACCCTCTCTAACATGCAGTGGTACTAACAACAGCAGAAGCAAATGTAAATGTTGCAAAGCCAGACTAATATAAAAGTGTCTGATTGCATGGCAGCACAGCAGTGGTAACAAGGTGCTGATTTACTATCTTGACATTATATGTATGTTTCCCTCGAAACTGTTCTAAAACACCAATGTGCTGAAGGAGGAAAAGGAAGATTTTCAATAAAATACCTGGCATTATGTTATTTGATTGACTAATTCTGATGCAAGAATGTTTCTGACCTCCTACTCTTGCATGAATGTTACTGTCATACTATTGCTATGGAGATCATTCAACAAGAAAAACCATCAAATAAATAAAGACATTTTTTGCGCAGCTTTTCAGATGAACAGACAAACATAGATAGATAGATAGATAGATAGATAGATAGATAGATAGATAGATAGATAGATAGATAGATAGATAGATAGATAGATAGATGTAGCTGAGTGCATCCCTGAGAGCCATACCAATAACCACCTGCTTAATTTTTTATATATCATGACTATTATCAAGCTCCATGGTGTTTAAAAAGGCTCAGTTTAAGTTAATGTTCCTGGTTTTTAGTTCAGGACTCCACGTCTGCTAATCCCTCTCTGGTTATCTAAACATAACAATGTTTGGTTTGTCTTTAGAGGCTTTAGCATGACTTGTGATTGACTGCCCTGCTTGCGTGGCCGCACTGCTCTTTCACTTGCCACATCCTGCTTCACGTGCTCGCAGCAGAGCCTTTAAAAGCGGCTCAGAGCGCGCGGCACTCCTGAGCTGTGACCGCGCAACGGTGCGCAGACATCAGAGCGCAGAGAAGCGGCTTCGCATGGCACATCTGCTTTCTCTGTAGTTGCACCCTTAATCAGAACCAATTCGCCTCTCACGGATTTTCGGAAACCCTGTTGTATTTTTAGAAATAGTCAATAAAGCTCGGTTGGTCAAGCGATCTCATCGTCTAAAGCAGAAGACAGAACAGGTAAGTTGCCCCCCGCCTCCTCCTTTTTTATGGTAACGTTGTAATCAGTAAATTCACTCGCTTAGAGTCATCGTTATATAGCTGACTTTCTGTAAAATATGTAAAAGATTAATCAAGCCATATTTTGCGGAAATCATTCAGATGAAACTGGGACACCTCATCGTTAGTTAAATAAAACTAAAAACCATTTTATTATTGCACGTATAACATATGAGCAGGTGTTCAGCGTTCTACATTTGATTTAAAAATGAATTTCAAATATCTGTAATTATCAATAAAACTATTTTAAAGTACTTTTATTTTCCTCTTCTTTGCAATTTCAAAAAGCCACATCTGGTTTATTGTTTCAAGATACTTTAATCAGAAAACTAAAGACATCTCTTTAAAGACAGAGCCTCTCATACTTATCTCGGATTTTTATGGGGGGTTTTCTTTTATATGTTTTTCTTTTTTTCTTTTTTTACTTATATATTTCCCAGCTGACATTCAGTAACTGGCTGATAATTAAGAGGCGAGAAGGAGAAAGAATCCCTCAAGGGTAAGGGGGCCCACTGTCTTAGTGGTCGCGAATAGAGGGAGCCCCGGGATGACATTTTGGAAATGTGAGAATCTGCAGCGCATTCCACATGTTCTTCCAGAAGACCTATATACTGGTGTGATTATAAAGACTCCATGCTGAGTTTTCCACTGTGGTAATCTTAATTGTTTTTGTACAAAAGGGGGAAAAATATGTAAAATAGAATGCGTTCTTCAATCTGTCATTGTTTGCTTCTCTCTGTTTTTGTTCTGATTTTGCTCAAATGCACTTTATTCAGGGTTTCGCTGTCTTTGCTGACTTATTACAAAAAGATACTCATAACGGTTTCTTTACATATTATAGTCTAACTTTTGTTTGCTTCAAAAATGTATTCCAAATAAGCAGGAAACTCATAACATGTTTTATTTTCAAGCTGTCAATGCCTTGCAAAAGTATTTATACCCACTGTCACATTACAACCACAAACCTCAATTTGTTTTGTTGAGCAGAGAAATGAATAAATGGTTTTACAACAAAAGATCTGAAAGACAGAGGGAGTCTACAGACATTTTAAGTCTTACAACAGATTCAGTTTGATCTGAACATTTGAGTTTTTCTTATATGTGGATATAATTTGCTCAGTTGTATTCCATTAATGCATTTCTGTACACAGTTTTTTTCCCTTAACTGCTGGGTCCCACATGGCCTGCAAAGGCAATGTCTCTTGGCCTTTTTCAATATTGCCTTTTCTTCTTCTTGATCTTCTTTCATAAAGGCCAGATTTGTGAAGTGCAAAAATAACAGTTGTCATGTCAACATATTCTCCCACCTGAGTTCTGAATCTTTGCAGCTTCTCCAGAGTTACCACAGGCCTCTTGGTCGCTTCTCCAATTAATATCATTGACACACCTTTCATTCTAGGTAGACATGTCTTAGTAGGTTTTGTAGTTTTGCTAATCTTACTGCATTTTTACATGGTGGATTGAACATGTAAAAATGCATATTCAAGGCTTAAGGACATTGTTTTTATGATTGTCTCTGTTAAACAGTCCCAACTTTATCCCTGACCTGTCCAGTATGTTCCTTTGTTTTCATTATGCGATTTAGTAGCTGATGTTCCCTCACAAACCTCTTAAGTTTTCACAGAACAGCTTGTTTATACTGAGATTAAGTTACACACATATGGATTTACTGATCATGGGACAAATGCTTGCATCGAATTGTGTTTAGATAGATCAGATTCATTTGGTTGAACAAATTTTCATGCCACTGTATTCTGTTTTTTCTTAGTAAAAAAAAATTGATAACCATATATAAATTTATTTTCAGCTGATTTATCCTTACTGCTGGTCTATTATACAAAATTAAAAAATAAATAAATAGATAAAGAGGAGTTTATCATTTCAGTGCATGGTGGTACAACCTTGTTGTATAGCAATAAGAAGGTCCTGGATTTGAACCCTGAGCTGGGGCCTTTTGTATGGAGTTTGCATTTTCACCCCTTGCATGCGGTGAGGAGTTAGTCTCTCTAAATTACCTTTAGGTATAGTGTGTGTGGTTATTTGGTCTGCTTGTCTCTGTGTAGCTCTGTGATTGGCACCAGATCCAAGGTGTCCTGAGGCAACCACCACAACCTTTCGTGGATAAGACCATGAGTGGATGAGTGTTTGTGGTTTTAATGTAAAAAAAATGGTATTTAAGCAAGGCATTGTAATCTACACAGACATAAAAAAGTTTGATCCTCTCATTGACTTTGCAAATACTACATTTCAAATCAAAATATACGATTCAATACTGTTAACAAATCCTAACGTTGTATGTGATTTTTGACTTCCTATAGAATGAACAACAGAGATCGCTGGAGAGTGTACAAGAGGGTGTGTGCCATGTTCTTCCTGGCTGTGGTGGCGCTCACCATTGTCCAGAGAGGCAGCATCAACATGGGGACTCCATTTGAGTTAGAGAGGCTGGCTCGTATGCACGCCTCCCCGGCAGATGGACCCAGAGCCCCTCCAGAGGAGGGACCTAGCTTGCACCTGGGGTTAAAGAGCTTCTGGAAGGCTGGCAGGCAGAAGCCAAAGGCCAAAGCCTGGGCCACCACACAGGAGCCCGGGGTTACCGACGACACCAGCCCCGGTAACTGGGACGTGACCAGCTCCAACTGCAGCGCCAACCTCAACCTGTCAAGCCAGGCTTGGTTCCAGGCGCTTGAGGACAACTTCAAGCAATTCATGCTTTATCGCCACTGCCATTTTTTCCCTATGATTCTCAACCACCCAGAGAAGTGCACGGGGGAGATTTATTTGCTCATGGTGATTAAATCGGTGGCCACCCAGCATGACCGCAGAGAAGTCATCCGAAAAACCTGGGGTAAGGAGCAGGTGGTGGACGGGAAGAGGATAAAAACCTTGTTCCTGCTTGGTACGCCTTCAAATGTTGAAGAAAGAGCTAATCATCAAAAACTTGTAGAGTATGAGAACTATATCTATGGAGATCTTCTTCAGTGGGACTTCTTAGACAGTTTCTTCAATCTGACACTTAAAGAGACTCATTTTCTCAAGTGGTTCCACACCTACTGCCCTAGAGTGCAGTATGTCTTCAAGGGGGACGATGATGTCTTTGTAAGTGTGGAGAACATTTTGGAGTTTCTAGAAGGCAGCAGCCATGACAAGAACCTGTTTGTAGGGGATGTGATTTTCAAGGCCAAGCCCATTCGAAAGAAGGAAAACAAATATTACATCCCTCATGCTCTCTATAATAAAACCTACTACCCCCCGTATGCCGGAGGCGGAGGGTTTCTCATGCATGGGACGCTTGCGAGGAGGCTTCACTGGGCCGCAGAGACCCTTGAGATCTACCCCATTGACGATGTATTCTTGGGTATGTGCCTGGAAGCGCTGCAGGTCACGCCTGTAAAACACAATGCCTTCAAGACATTTGGCTTAGTGAAAAACAAAAACAGTAAAATGAACCGGGAGCCCTGTTTCTTCAAAAACATGATAGTAGTGCACAAGCTCCTCCCGTCGGACCTCATGCGCATGTGGCATCTGGTCAACAGTGAACTGAACTGCTCGAAGAAAGTAGAACTCCTATAGCTCCGGGAGAGTTAAAGACGAAACCCTGTAGATGAACTTTACCACAGAGAGCACCAAAGGGAAATGCTGCCAAATGCAGCGAGCAACAAAGCAAACTTCCAAGTAAACTCTCCTTTATGACTCTTTGGAGAGAGTCGAAGAGCGTTTTTAATTTGTCCAAGTAAATTATTGCCATTTTTAAAGGTTCATAAAGAATTGTGGGGTTTATATGTATGTACTGAGAACTCTGTTAGTGTTCATATTCATAGACAGTATCTACCCCAATCACATTTTTAATCTGATAATATGCAGCTGCAGGCTCTGCTGCAAATGTTCAAAAATGGCCTCACTGTGCCACAAGCAATGATAGATGACTTACTCCTCACCCTTTTTGTGGTCCAAACAACAATTCTTCCACTGTCCTCTCTTTTAGATTATTACTAATTATAAACTTAAGTTTCCAAAGCACACACGGTGCATTATCAAAACATGTTTTACTGTATTTGCTGCAACATCGGAAAGCAGTTCAAATCAAGTTTACTTGCATAGCACATTTCAGCAACAACACACAGTTCAAAGTGCTTTACATGGCAAAAACAAAACGCCACGAGCAAAGACAAAAGAAGCTTTATGTTACTGCAGCAAAAGTAAAAAGTTGCAGTGCAGACTAGAATTCATTTGCATCCACTTAATAATCAAAGACAACTCTAAACAAATGGGGGTTTAACTTTGCTTTAGAGCAACTTTGTTCAAGAAAAAAGTATGACTGCATTATGTTTAAGTAAAAGACCCAAATGTTTCATTTGAAATCAAGGTTGCTTTTGCTCCAGCATGCAGCTAGATGCTCTGAGCTGCCTCCTTTTGGGTAATAGAAGCTAAATGCTGGAGTTTCAGATGAGCAAACAACTGCATTAAAACAACAAACCAGTTTCCTAACTTGCATTAATCAATATAGCTACATGGCTTTCTTTCAAGGCAAAACAGTTATGTTGTTATATGTTATAATACAGCTGGACTGGTTTAATGTAAAGTATTTAGTTTTTGTTCAGAGTTTTGTTTGAGTCATTTAAAGCAGGTCAAATAAAACCCAAACAATATTTATTTGAAAAGAAAAAACTAAAAACAATTGTATGAAATTAAATTAAAGTGGTGTGGTGGTGCGTTTGATTTGTTATGAAAATTTCATCACACTTGAGTGTTTTCTAGTGACAAGTTGGAAAACTGGTGGAAATTATTAGGTGGATTGGTGCTAACTATGGGAAACGTAAGACAAAGCTGTGCATTTCTCTCCACTAAAAGTGTTCAAATAATAAAGGAAGTTGTTTAGAGATATGGATTTTACAGCACTAAGTGATCTGTTTGTGTCTCCTTAAACATGGTCTGACTGGTTTAAGGAGAGACAAACTATCAGAGTTGCTCATAGATTTTATACTTTCAGCCTTGACAGAAATGTATTTGTCGTAGAACTCTGGATTATGCAGCTACTTCCGACTTTTTTGAGTTGAAATTATGATTTTTATTTTCATTTTTCCAACTAGGAACTCAGAAAATCCAACTTCTGTGGACAAAGACAGCGCACCATACGGGCGTGATTTATGCTTATGTCAGTCATTGTTAAATGAAAACAGATCAAATATAAAATTAAGAAACGTGAAAGAATAAATTATTTAACAGACCTAAACTCAAATAAATATGTCTTACTTAAGTTAGTGTACTGCGAGCCAAGGTTGTTTTTTGGTTGTACTTGATTTAAAGCAAGAAAAAAAAATGCTTTGAAATTGGCTACTTTTTCAATCGCTATGTTATCTACCCTAAATAATATCTAAATTGGATATATATAGCTGGGTTTACTTTGAATAAATGCAATATTTTAGAGATCATACTGAAATACTTTAAAAAAAAAAAGTCAGAACATTTAAACATTGCTGAGCGCCTTATGTATGTTATTCTGAAACTTCAAAATTGCAGAAATGTCAAAATATTCAGTGTGTCATATTGAGGCATATTCTTTCAATATCAATGGCCACCTTTAGAACATCTGTTGCTTTGGAACATGTCTGGTTTAATCTAGAGGTCTACTGGATATATATATAACTTTAAAAAAAACATCTTTATACCTGTTTCACACATTAAGTCTGTGGATTTAAGTGCTGATATACTTGACATAAATTTATGAAAGGGAGGTGACAATAACACTGTGAATTTCAAACTGTTGCTGGTACGATTGTATGGCATCTGTTGCCCCCCAGTAAAAGAAGGGGGGCAAATGTGGGAGTTCTTGAATTTATTTAAATGTAACAATGTAAACTTCTGTGATTACAACCCCAGGTGGCAGGGGTGTAGTGGGTGGTGATTAAGACTAAGTCATGTAAATGTATGTAATACTGACGCACACGTGTGTATATATTTCTATATACACACATACAATGTATGTACAAGTGATGTTTTCTGTAAATAAACCTTTTCACAATCTTAACGATCAATCTGTCCTACATTGGCTATCTTTGTCTATCAGCTCCTGAAATCTCAGTGCAAGTTCAGATCATATCACCTAATAAAAGGAGATCAGCGTCACTGTGAGTGTTTAGGTTACATAGCAAAACTTACGCCAGAGAAATTACGGACACAAACGTATTTTTAATTCGTCAAACCCGTGCTCAAACCTCTATGTTCATGAAGTTACCAGAGGGAAACGTCTCAGACTTCCGATGTAACATTCTGTCTTGTGTATGCTGAGTGTTCTTGTCTGTATGTCTTTTCAGCAAACTCATGAGTCATGAATGTCAAAGCAGATTTTCATAACAAAAGAAATACCTTCCCCTTCGGGCACAAGTACAAAAGAAGGAACACAGGAATGGGAATATCTTTAGATTGTGTTTCATGAGAGTGCGCTTGTCTAACCAGTAGCTAAAAGTTTATCTCCTTGAACCATCTCTTGTTTTACAGACATGTTAAAATGATTTAGAGTCAAACCTCTGAGCTGATTTATCTCTTTTATTGGATTTTTTAGCGTGGTTTATCAGGTCCAACACTATAAAGTGTGTGCCTATCATGTACTGTGTCTCTATTAAGGCACTGCAAGAATCTTGAATTAGAGAAAAAAGTGAATAAATCTGCAAGAATGTCATTAGTAGTGTGGTTTGAATTTGAATTTGCATTGAGCTAAAGGGATGAGGGTGGAATTTGGTTACAGAAAACATAGAGTAGTAGGCAGTGGGACGAAAGTCAGCTTCTTGCTTGAACACACACAAGCCACAGAGGGTGGTTACTGCGTAAGAGGGCACCATGCTTTAATTTATCTAAAGTTTCTCTGCTTTTTGAGACTCTTTCTTTCTGAGCATGCTGAAGAATAAAAGCACAGTGTGCATGCTTGATATTGCCTGCTCCTCAAATCAGAATCTATTCCTGTCTTAGTTCAACAGGTCTGTTCAAAGATTAGTTAAAAATTAATTTGTATTAATTTTTAACTAATCTTTGTTTTATTTGCTTTTGCGTCACAGAAGTAGAACTAGACAATAAAGATTAACATAAAGCTAATAAGTCATCAGTATTTGCCCTTGAGTTTTATTATCTTATGCATACAGGGTTGCATAAGTGGGCACATCTTTAGACTACTGCATGCTTGACCAAACGTCTGACAGGTTTAGTCTTCATACATTTATACATTTAATCAATTATTGTGAATCAGATGAACCCAAAACAAACTTCAGGTTTTTTACTTTCTGTAATGTTCCCATTTAGCATCCTTTAGCTGACGGCAGAGTTAGCAAAGATGCTACAATGGAGCTCAGTGATCTTAAAAAACATCAGTCAGGTATGCTTTATACATACATTCCATGGCATAATGAAAACAGACATAAATTATGAATGGAAATATGGAAAAACAATGACACCACAAAACTGCATGTGTTCCCTAAAATACTGAAAACACAGAAGGAAAAACTGATCTGGGATGATACTAACAGGCAGGGAGCTGCTGGAATTTCCAACAAGCATTGGACGCATTCTGCTTGGAACAACAATGTGTTGTACACTCAATATGTCTATGGTGACGAGGATGGTTATGAAAAAAAAAAAAAAAAAAAAAAAAAAGAAAAATCATGCTGTCCTGGCTAAAGTTTTGTGAAAGAATGCATCATGGTTTGATGAAAGTACACACAAAGTCATGAGTTATGACTAAAAGACATGTTTGGAACAAAACAAAGAACACCACGCCCACATCGGGGTGGCAGCATCATGTTCTCGGGTTACTTTTTTTTTTTCCAAGTGAAATTGATTTCAACAAAGTGGATGAAATAACGTACAGTTCCAGAAAAAAAAAAGTCAGTTTGACGCAAAGAATTCAAATTGAAAATTAAAAATTAGGAGTTGCTTAGCCAGAGTCTAGAACAAAAACTATGTGAAAATCAATGTGCTGAGCAAAAGATGTCTACACAATTTATTATACTTCAAAAAACTTTTGCATGAGTGGGCAAACATTCCCAGATAAGAAGATAAGGAAAAATGGATGCTGAGATTGAATAATGTTTTCACAAAAAAAAAAAAAAATGTTTCATGGTGTTTCATAGATGAAATGTACAAGATAAATGGAAAGAAATTGAAATGGCTCTCATGTTCTCAACCATATGGTTTTCCATCTCAAATAATTTTTTGTTACAAACTAAATCCATTTATTTATGCATTTTAAGCTAAATTTTTATAATATGGTCTTCAAAGGCATAAAAAATACATTATTCAGGTACAGCACAAAAAAAAATCACTGTATTCGCTCATATTGTAAATATAATGCATAAAATGCTGAACAGTAAACGTGGAAAACAACATTGTTCTTGTATTAACATATTCTAAAACAGAAGCCAAGTCAAAGATGTGTATAAATTAAAATCAATGATAAGCAAATGAAAAGCAATAACAACTGACTCTTTTCTTACCAGCCTTTTCCAAGCATGTGGCAGCTACATTGAAAGCCAATAAACCAGGACAAAAAAAAATAGATAAAAAACCCTGAAAAAATGACTTTTTGCTTCATGATAAAGAAAAAGGAACTCAATTTCAAGCATAAGTGGAATCAGGAAAAGTGACAGAACGGATTCATCAAGCAGCTGTCAGAATGTCCTGTACATTCTGGTGAAAATTTCTCACTCCAGTGATGATGTTTGTCTGTGTCAGCAAGTACACAACCAGCATCCAGGCCAGAGCTTTGTGTTTGCCAGCACTAATTAGAAGGAGCCTTTGATGTCAGTCTGATAGCAAAGTCAGTTGGATGAGGATGCAAACTTTCACAATAGCTCTCCATCATTCTAGAGCACCACGACTGACAGAGCTTTAAACAAGGAATATCATTGTTTATCCTGATCATCACTATGACAGAAGCAAATTAAGAAAGCCATGATTTGTCTACTAACTACAACAAATTGAAAACAAATGGATGTTCTTCTCTATTCCCATTACCATCTGTTAGATTCCATCACACTATATTCAACATTCATTTCAGCTATTAAGTTGGAACTAAAACTGTTATATTTATTAGGATTTTTTTGTAATAGATCAACATTGTTTTCAACTTTCTTTCTTTTTAACCAATAAGAACATGAATAGCACAGCATGCATGTTTTTTTTCCATTTAATCTGATAACCTCAAGTAAAATGTACTGCCTTCAGAAGTCTCTTAATTAGTACATAGAGTTCTTCAGAATGTAATGTAATCTCAGTATAAACACAGCAGTTCTGTGAAGCCGTGAAGGTTTCACAGAACCTTCTGTGAAGGTTTGTTTGGTAACATTAGTGAGCAAACATCACTGTGAACACCAACTAACCAGACAAGGCGAAAGCTATTTCAAGCTTTGAATAATTCAAAGCTTTATTTATTACTGTGCCATACCCTTTTCATCTTCACCCGAAAATGGAAAGAGCATGGCGCACAGTTGCAAACGTAACAAGACATGCTGTTCACCCAAAGTTAAGCTGGGCCTTAATCAGAGAAGTAGCAGGACCCCCAAGAGAAAGGAGATGAAAAAAAAAAAAAAAAAAAAAAAAAACAAACAGCTGAGCTGGTGACAGGTCCAACTGTAGTAAAGTTATATCTGGTTTGTGGACAAATGGTAAAATTAAATTCATTGTTAGACAAAAGCAATTAGAAACTCTGGTTAGAGTTTGTCAAAAGCCAGAAAACATAGAGAAAACATCATCATGTTGTGGGAATACTTTTCTTTAGCGGGAAACAAAAGCTTGCCAGAGTTGATGGACAGAGTAATTTAGAAAGAAAATCTTTAAAGGGTTGCATAAGTCTTTAGGCTTGGGCAGAGGTTCAGTTTTTGTCAAGAGTATAACGTAGCAAAATGTGAGAAGGTTCAAGGATTTTGTAAATATTTTTGCATTTGCACTATTTAGTAATTTGCTAAAAATGCATTTGAATCATCACAGAACTTTCTAATTTATTTCAAATACAGCAAAGAAGCCAGCGGGAAAGTGACTAAAGTGTTGACCTGGACGCAGCGTCTCTAGGTGAAACAGAAAAGAATGGACACAGGTTATAGTAGACCTCTGTCAGTGATACAGAGGAGGCAGCAGATCTCTAAATGGAGTTATTCATTGGTGCCATCATCAGGGTCTCTGCCCAGGCACCTTCAGCAACAAAGATCCCTGTTCATCTGCGTGGCTGACTTCTGCAGCTGTCCCCTGTCCTATGGTATTACTGACATGACAGACCTGCCAAGAGCTCTGGGTCAACACTACCTATCTAATGTCAACCTCTTTTCCTAGAAACATGAAGGTAGGAGTGGCGATGCAACTTTTCCTCAAAAGTAAAAAGGTTATTAAAGTCACGAGACATAAACTACTTGCACACCAAGAGGCTATGTCTCAGAGGCTGTTACAAGAGATGCGCTGGGAAGCTAGCATACATTTGATTTGGCAGATTAACAAATCTTATGGACTAATACAACTGATATAACTTTGATATCACACACTAGTGCTGAACGTTGTTCATGATTTAGACAACTACTACCTGCAGGGTTCATTGTTGATTTTCCCCCTAGCACCTTCATAAGGTTGTACATATTTAGAAGTAACATCGTGGCAAAGTTGTGTTTTCTCAGAGCCTTGGCTTGTTGTACTTAGATGTTCCAGTGTAGACCTACAGGCCAAAACATGCAATTAATTAAATCAGTCACTTTAATCTGCTCTTAGGTTTATTCCTGTGATAAATTGGGAAAAAAAAAAATCTGTTTAGAGTTCATCTATTTAACGCTGGAAATAGGCACAGAGACACCAAGTACAGAAAATGGATGGATGTTTCCTAAAACAAGGTTCTTAACTCTTTTGCGCCATCTCCTGGTTAATATAATTATCCGCTTGTAGCAGAAAGTACTTCAAAGCTCCTTTTGCATTGAATTTCTGCATAAATGAATCCTGATAGTCAGCATGAGGGGTCAGAAAGCTTATCTAAAATCTAATCTTACTTTTAACTTCTTAGTCACTTTTA